TTCGTTTATTTCTCCCTCTGCCTCGAGTCGGGTTACTAGTTTAATAGCGTAAGCTTCTGTTATTGTACGTCACACGCATCACACACATGACCATCGTCGACCAATAGTGAGCCTACGTATGACGTAGCTCTACGCAATCACACTACGTTAACTGACTACAGGCCCATAGAGAAGGAAGTGAATAGTTGAAATAAAGTCGTTATTTTTGTTTGTTTTTGCGCACAAAAAGTATTCTCGTCGTTTGATAAAGTTCAAATTGAGCCACTGTAGTCACTTGGACTATTTTAACGATGTCTTTGATGACTTTTCGAGGCCAGCAAGTGTCATTCCCTCAAGAAGCCTATGGACTAGTATGCAGGAGTGATCTTAATATCTTAAATATCTTAATTTGTGTTCCGAAGATGAACGAAGGTCTTAAGTGGTTGGAACAACATGAGGGTGAGTAAATACTGACAGAATTTTCATTTTTGGGTGAACTAACCCTTTAAGCTCTAATATGTTCAATATGTTCTTAAAATATCATCTTTTGTGTTCTTCAGAGGAAGAATAAATATAATTTTTATTTTGGGGTGGACTGTCCCTTTAAGACAGAGTGAGAGGTACCCCAAAACACACTGGATACCCTCTACATGTCCAGACTGCTGCCCTAACGTTCCTAGAGCGAGGCACGGAGCCACCCTGATGAGCCATTAAATCATCAATAGCGATTTAACATGCGAGCAGTGATCCAACACAGGCGCTGTCCCATGCTGTGGAATCCGGACAGACAATCCGCTAATATGACGGGAAGCGCTTTGTTATGCCTCTTCAGAAACCATCCACTGCACTTAACCTCATCAAGCACTCAGTCCACATTATCTGCCACAAACGGTACATAAAATGTATGACATATTATATGCGGTTAGTTGCACCAGACTGCATGCTAAAACCATTATCTGTTTGATGGAGAATTTTTAATTGCCATATTACCGAAGTCTACTAATGCACATGCGCTGTGGCTACCTGACACCGAAAACATCCCAAAGATCTGGAGAAGTAAGCAAAGCTTTCTGGAGTTTCAAACATGCGTTAATGTATTGGCTCTTTGTTGCATGTGGGACTGCATACTGATTAAATAATCTGGTTTGTAAATAGAGCCTGTTTTTAATGCGTCCCTGTTTTTCCACGTCTGGATCTTATTGGGATTTGCTGATAACTTTTCCAGGTTTCCCCAGTTTAATATCCCACCACACCTCTCCCTCATGACCCTTTTCGTATCCCACAATATCCTGGGCCTTGTATCTCTGCGTGGCTACTCTGAAGAGCACCTCTAAATTTTAGGCTTTGCTGAATAGATTTATAGAAGAATGTTGACATTTGCTCAAAAAGCATCCAATGCTACCAGAGCTCTCCATCAGTGGCAAAGGCATCCAAATTTCCATCACATACTTGCTTGCACTGCTGCTGTGATAAATCTGAAATTCTGGAGCTGGCAAAATAAGCCCAGTATGGCTTGGTCCCATTGTAATGTCTTAAGCATGTTTTCTTGAGGGACTGCAGCAGCCCTGACGCTAGCTTGGCTATTGTGTGTCATGGAGATTAGCTCTGGACATGTTGACTTTTGAAGTGGAGTCAAGGTTGCCAAAGAGCTGAAAATGAGGCGCATCTCTGCTAGACTCATCCGGTAGCCTAGCCGCTAAATGAGCGCAGTGCACGTCCCGCTCTCCGATGGCCTTTATCACTAATGGACCAGCACGAAGAACCCAGTCTGAAGCCATCAGATCCTCTCTATTAGCATGAATGCTCAAACCAGATCAGGCTAAATCTAAAACAAATGACCCTCACCTTGAATAAATATCATCCTCATAATGGTGTGGGAGCATAATGCAAAAGTATAAATGAAAAGAGGATGAGATGGATATCTCTAACAACTGTCTTGTACTTTTCAAAAGGTACACTTTTGTACCCAAAGACTGCATATTGGTACCTTAGTGGTACACATTAGCACCTAAAATGTACATATTAACACCTAAAATGTACATATTAGTACCTAAAATATACTTAACACCTAAAATGGACATATTAGCACATTAAATGGACATATTAGCACCTAAAATTTACATATTAACACTTAAAATGTACATATTAGGACCTAAAATGGACATATTAGCTCCTGAAATGGACATGTTAGCACCTAAAATGTACATACTAACACTTAAAATGTACATATTAGCACCTAAAATGTACATATTTACACACAAAAATGTACTTATTGGCACCTAAAATGTACATATTAGCACCTAAAATGGACAAAAGTTTACTTTTTGAAAAGGTACGGGCCCAGTGACAGCTTTTGTACCTTTTTTTCTGAGAGTGTACCATTATTTGGGCTCAAACAGCAAATGCATATTTGCATTTATGCATCTTCAAACGTTCCCTTGGAACTAACCCTATGCCAGTTTTCAAATGCAATTGGCAAGTGAATGAGAAAAAATATTTTAATTAGAAAAAAAAGCTTTACATTTTTATATGAATTAATATGTTTATTGCAATGGTTTTTAAAACAGTAAATCTGATCCAGTATGATTTTTTTTCATTCTTCTTTCTTGAGACTGGTTGGAAATTATAAAACGACCTGTCTAATTATAGTTTTGTGTAAGAACCAGGTTTTATACAACAAACATTAAACATTAAGGGATGTAGAATATGGTAATGCAGAATAAGAATAAGGCATTCATATGTGCTTTTATAAGTACTAATAAACAGCCAATAACCTAGTAATATCGATGCTAATAAGCAAGTAGCTAAACGTGAGAATTAGATCCTAAACTAAAGTGTTACGTCCCTTTGACACAAAAAAATTTGCCTTCATTCCTCATACATGCTATATTGACACACTATAATGTTATTTTACCATCTTAGGCCAAATATTCTTATGTGATGAAATAGTGATGCACCGATGTGAAAATTGTGGTCGATACCGATAACCAATATTAATATTACTGTTGTTGCCGATACCGATATTTACCGATGTCGATATTTCTGTATAGCAAACACATAGTGAGGATTAGGGCTGCACGATATTGGTAAAAAATGACATTGTGATATTTAATTTTTCTGCAGTATATATTGCGATATAAAAACAATTTCACCAGATGACTCGAATAGCTCTATTTGGAAAGAATTAATCATTATAGAATGACTGGGGTGGCTTTATCATTTATCATAACTAATTTTAATAGAATGTTAACTAATGTAATTAACTAGACTTTAATAAATGGAACCTTATTGTAAAGTGTTTCCGAATTATGTCTCTTGAGTTCAGTCAGTGTTGGACAGATCATTTGTTTTAACCATTCATTAAAGTGAATCGGTTCAAATGAGTCATTAGTTTGCGAATCGGACGTGTCATTAACGGACCACGGCACACGTTGTGTGATTATCCAGACAGTTTAGGACATCGCGCAAGATTTGCCTCAACACAGAAAACATTTCATCACTAGATAGATTTTTGTTTGTTTATTGAAAGAGTGGTTTATGTCATCTGAATGTGTGGAAAGCTTTTCAGAGAAGATAAGGCAACGTTATAGTAGCACAATTCACAACCAGCTGTAGTTCCAACCCGATCTCACGGGAATTCGTACAAATTTTACGAGGTGGCTAATTCGTAACAATTCGTACGACCTCACTCGTCCGAATTAGTACGATTTTGCTAAATCGTACATATATTATGAATTAGCCAATTCGTATGAATTCGCACGAATGACCCCGCCCCTAAACATAAAATCACGTCCCAGACAGCAAACTGACATTGAATCAACGTGGAAACGACGTCTCTCATGACATTGAAACAACGTTGATTTTGCTCATCGAATTAACGTTGAACCAACGCGGCATTCTTCAAAGCTAAATGAAAATCGAAAATTGGTTTACTTTCATAACGTTGAAACAACGCGTTGTTTTCCGTTAGTTTTGAAAGAATGACGCGTCTGACGTTGGTTCAACGTTAATTCGATGAGCAAAACAATGTCAGATCAATGTTGTTTCGATGTCATATTTCCACGTTGATTCAATGTCAGTCTGCTATCTGGGGTGGGTTTAGACAAATAAAAAGAGACAAAAAGAGTGAAGTCGTATGAATTAGTACGAATTAGCCACTTTTGAATCACTCGTACGAATTCGTACGAATTGGTCGTGAGAGGGTAGGTAGTTCAGAATAAAAAAATGTACGTTTTCCAAACTTTTACCATCATGAATTCTCAAAGATATTCAGACAACTCAATTCATTAATATGCACGAGGGAGGGAGACAGTTTGAAGACGGCTAGAGTGCTTGTGCGACCACGACTTTCACTCTCTCTGCTGCGCTTCTTTAACTGAGAGAAGGAGCAGTCAGTCACCTACATCACTCACCGGTCAAATAAGGCTTTGGCGGGAGAAAAATATGCCTTAGTAAGGCTGACAGAAAACAGCACGCAAGTTCCAGTTTTCTTGCGCTTGATGTTTAAACTGACAGGACTTGTGCTCGTCATTTATGGGCCTGTACAAAAACAAACACCCCCGGCCCTATTTTGACATTGGAACGATACCGATGTGTAAAAAATGTACCAGATCGGCCGATATTATATTGGCAGCCGATATATCATGTAGCCTACCACTATGATGAAATGATGAACTGGATGATGACATCACTGTTTTTTCCAGAGATGAACTGAACTCGTTTAAAAAATGAATGAACTTTACATAGTTCTTGAACCGAACTGAATAAACACTGAAAAGGCTTCAACGGAATAATGATTGTTCATTGTTGTAGATGCTGTACAGCAGAATTAAAGTCTGTTTACATCATTGAATGATTATTTTTTCCTGATGATCCATGTAAAGCTGCTTTGAAACCATCGTTATTGTATAAAGCACTTTATGAATAAACTAAAGGTGATGACCTGTGTCAACATTTCTGAGCATTGATGTTCTAAACAGTGTATAGAGCTACAGTTACCATTCAGAAAAATAAATCCTCACCTATACGTATGCCACTTAACGCTCCATAGTCCACATCCTCTGGTCAGAGTGAAAGCAGGGTGTAGAGAGAAAGGACAAAAGTGCACTCTAATCAAATAATGATAAATGTGAAATGAAGTCAGGGCAACCCTTAATCAAGAAGTGGTGAAAGAAAGGGGTAATTTGCAATGTTACTGTTTTTTACACATGATGTAAACAAAGACAAAAATACTGGCAAATTAGAGTTGGGTTATGGTTATGTGATTATGTGTTGAAAAGGATGAAAAATTACCTTCCATGTTGTCTGTTCAGCATGAGTGAGAGGACAAGAGAGAGAGAGAGAGAGTTGATCAGAAGTTGCACTCACAACTAAAATAGATTGACGAGCTGTACTGTAGTAGTTGAGGAAATACATTTTCATTCGTCAAAGAAAGAAGCTGCACTTAAATATATATTAAAAGGCTTAGCACTTCATTAATCAATCTTACTGTATAATCTGTCAAATTTTACAGCTCAAATTTGTACCATCATGGTCGCAGAGTTACACGGCACCCTCACGGTTAGTTCACTGGCCAGCTCTAATCGATTGGCTGACTAGATACAACTTCCAGGAGAATGAGCAAATGGGGTCCAATAAGCTTAAGATGGTTTTAAAAAATATTTAGTTAGTTTCTTTTATATTACATTATATTATAATATATTTCGGATAAATCTGCCCCTAAAAATAAAATATAATGTAATATAATATAATAATAATTTACATATTGCTTTGTTTCACATTGGCTCTTTTAGTGTTAATCAAAGTTCATACTACATGAGATTATAGGAACATCACAGAGGGCATTCCTTTAAAAACTCTAAACACCTCTCCTCATCTCTACTCTTTCATTTGGTGGCTTTAGGATGTAAACAATGAGATGACAAGAGTTACTTGATGGATGGACCATAAATTGAAAAAATAAATAAAAACGAAATTATTTTGGAAGAGAACATGCTTTTACTTCTCAAAAAAGACAAGATGAGTACCATCAACTCAAAGCTCACAGTGTGTGTGTGTGTCCTCGTCTTTAGAAGCCACAATGCAATGGCAACCAAGGGTCAAGACATGGACCTTCAGTCCAAATGTCCATCATGCTGTGACCAGAGTGGATTTTCAGAATAGTAAATGCAAATATTTTGTGACCAAGCTCAACTTGTCCTAACCATGTCCTCACCTGAGGTTCATTGGGGAATGATGTGTTTCATGCTTTTACAAAGCCAGTAAAATGCTGGTGCTGTCTTGAGTTTAACATGTGGCATTTCGGTATGACCCTCTGCTCCGACCCAAGCTCTGTGTTTGAGTGTGTTATGAGGGAGGCCGTAAAGTGACCTCGTCGATCATCGCCGTGTGAGGACTCGGAGTCGCAGAGCAGCTGTCACTCTCCTCGCATCCAACCCACAGATGGAGCTTTTATTGGGAGGGCTGTTGCTTTGAACAGACCTACAATGGCTTTTCAAGATGAAATCAAACTGTTCCAGATCCATCTATTGGCTTCTCCCTTTTCCACCCCGCTTTAATTCCCTCAACAATTTATGCCGCAGCTAAATGAAGACTTTGCACAATGACAACTACATTCTTTGGTGGACAGCATCACTGTGACTCTCACTGAACCGATGAGTGTGTTAGCATATTGGGTTTTGATCGAGCTCCGATGTAATGTTCAGGTATTACTCATTCCTTGATGTCATGCTTGTTTATGAATCCAAGCTGTAATAACAAATGCAGCATATTATAAAATAGTTCAATAACTACTGGAAGTTTGCCTGTGCAAATTCTAGTAAGGAAAGAATTTTAGATGCAACTGAATTTCATGTGAATTACATTGATGGAAATATTAATATTCATGGGTTTTATATATATATATATATATATATATTTTTTATACAGTATATATATATATATATATATATACTGTTCTCGGATCCTAGACGCACGGCTGATATATATATGTATATATATATATATATATATATATATATATATATATTTTTTTTATACAGTATATATATATATATATATATATACTGTATATATATATATATATATATATATATATATATTATATATATATATATATATATACTGTTCTCGGATCCTAGACGCACGGCTGATATATATATATATATATATATATATATATATCAGCCATGCGTCTAGGATCCAAGAACAGTGTAAGCTTAGGTGAGAGTATATGGCTATAAAACTGAAGAGAGTATAAAAGAGTATAAAACTGAAAGAACAGCTTTGAGATTCTGTGTGTAGTTAGTAGACAATTGTTTTTTTACTATGATTTTTATTCCAAATCTGGACAAGTGCCATGTCTTCCTGTCTTCCAACACATCATCATCTTTCCTTAGTCCATCCTGATGTCTTAAGTAATACAAAATGGACTAAGATTGTTCCAGGGTGTCTGCAATCTTTCCGTAGCTCAGTATGAACGTGTTCACACGTAGTAAAACATTTTTTTAATATGTCCGGCTGAACCACTGTGATTTACAGCAGTTCCTCAGACTTTATCAGGTCATTTATTCAGCTCACGTCTCCAGAGAGCAGCTCCAGGAAGATGCCTGGCACCCTTAGACACGCTCTCATCTCTGACGGACACTAACAGTCTTTGTAGTGATCTTAAGTGTGACATCACTCCATTTCTACATCACTCCAGTAAAGGATGTTGAGTCTGTTCTTTGTTTATATATTTCATATAGCAAAAGCTCAAAAATAAACAACACGCTTATAGGCTATTTGTTGTGTTTGATGATTTATTTAACATATAGTTTCCACTTTATTTCGATATTTCACTTCAGACATTCTACTATACGTAACTTTGCAACTTCACGTCAACAAACTCTCATAAATTTGGAACTGCAGGTCAACTAACTGTTAAGGCTCGGGTAAGTAGAAATTTGACTGTGGCAAGCTGAGTGAGGCCGAGTGCTGTGAGAGAATGGCGCGGTGGTGATTCACAATGTGCGTCGATTCATAACGAGACTTCAAGAGATTTCCATGACGCATGCGAGAGAACTGCATTCTTCTTCTACTACTTCAGTTCAGTTCTCGCGCATGCGTCGTGGAAATCTCTTGAAGTCTCGTTTCAGGCCTACAAGGAAGAAAAGGAGTAGTTGAATAAAGTCGTTATTTTTGTTTGTTTTTTTCGCACAAAAGGTATTCTCGTCGCTTGATAAACTTATACTTGAGCCACTGTAGTCACATGGAATATTTAAACATTTTCTTCATTGACTTTCTGGGCCGTCAAGTTTCAGTCCCTTAGGAGCCTATGTAGCAGTGACCCACCTCTCAAATTTAATAAAAAATATCTTCATTTGTGTTCCGAAGATGAACAAAGGTCTTACGGGGTTGGTACAGCATGGGGGTGAGTAATTAATGACTTAATTTTCATTTTTGGGTGAACTAACCCTTTAAGCAATTTTGAGCGTGGCAAGGCTGTTGGTGCCAGATGGGCCGGTCTGAGTATTTCACAATCTGCTCAGTTACTGGGATTTTCAGGCACAACCATTTCTAAGGTTTACAAAGAATAGTGAACAAAAGACTGAAATAACCACTCGTTACAACCGAGGTATGCAGCAAAGCATTTGTGAAGCCACAGCACGCACAACCTTGAGGCGGATGGGCTACAACAGCAGAAGACCCCACCGGGTACCACTCATCTCCACTACAAATAGGAAAAAGAGGCTACAATTTGCAAGAGCTCACCAAAATTGGACAGTTGAAGACTGGAAAAATGTTGCCTGGTCTGATGAGTCTTGATTTCTGTTGGGACATTCAGATGGTAGAGTCAGAATTTGGCGTAAACAGAACGAGAACATGGATCCATCATGCCTTGTAACCATAGTGCAGGCTGGTGGTGGTGGTGTAATGGTGTGGGGGATGTTTTCTTGGCACACTTTAGGCCCCTTAGTGCCAATTGGCATCGTTTAAATGCCACAGCCTACCTGAGCATTGTTTCTGACCATTCCATTCCTTTATGGCCACCATGTACTCATCCTCTGATGGCTACTTCCAGCAGGATAATGCACCATGTCACAAAGCTTGAATCATTTCAAATTGGTTTCTTGAACATGACAATGAGTTCACTGTCCTAAAATGGCCCCCACAGTCACCAGATCTCAACCCAATAGAGCATCTTTGGGATGTGGTGGAACGGGAGCGTCATCTCCATCAACTGCAAGATGCTATCCTATCAATATGGGCCAACATTTCTAAAGAATGCTTTCAGCACCTTGTTGAATCAATGCCATGTACAGGCAGTTCTCAAGGCGAAAGGGGGTCAAACACAGTATTAGTATGGTGTTCCAGCCAGATCTCATCCCAAGGCGTCATATATGACGCTTTTGCCAAAGCGCAGACATCCAACGCACATGGCACCCTTTAGTGTCAATATGAGACGCAGATATATATACTGTAGGACAGAAGGTGCCTCCTAGTGGTTTAACCCTAACCCTACCCCAGACCTAAACCTACCGTACTCTGTGAGTGTTATATTGAATCTGGAGCAGTGTCTTAGACCATAATAATGTTAGCATCACTCTGCAAATGAGTACAGTGTGGCCTTCTCCTAATGCCTATAAATGTCGTTGTATGTCTTGCACACATGCAATCTATTTTTCTTCAATAGTATCTGAGAGGTAAATTTGGTGAAAGGTAGCTCTTCTTCACATACAATTATGGACGATAGCTCCTTTATCTCCCATGTAGACAACCAACCTGATCTCACGGGAATTCGTACAAATTTTACGAGGTGTCTAATTCGTAAAAATTCGAATTAGTATGATTTTGCTAAATCGTACATATTGTACGAATTAGCCAATTCGTATGAATTCGTACGAATGACCTACCCCTGACCCCGCCCCTAAACATAACCGTCACGTGGGTTTAGACAAATCGTACGAGTGAGGTCGTATGAATTAGTACGAATTAGCCACTTTTGAATCACTCGTACGAATTCGTACAAATTGGTCGTGAGATAGCGTAGCGACAACAGGTTAAATAAAAATATAAGGATTATGTGATAAAGTGGATATATTTAGCAAACGCACCTTTCTATAGTTTTTTCTAGCTGACTAACGAGTTTATAAGTATTAAATGTTTTTTCGGAGGTACATTTGACGTTACATGACATGATTGTTCTTAAGTTGTTTTATAAGCTCTTTCCAAGGTCGAAATGCTGATTGAGCGAACTTTCAGGTCACATTAAAGAGCACCAAAACGACATTTATTGCATGTATTTTGAGCCCGTTCTCATCCCAAAGCGCCATATAGGACGCCTTTGCAAAAGCGTAAATATCCAACGCACATGGCACCCTTTAACGTCAAATGAGACGCAGATATATTTGGGCAAAGGCGCCCCCTAGTGGTCTAACCCTTACCCTACACCATACCTAAACTTAACCATAACCGAAGCGTCTCATTAGACGTTAAAGGGTGCCATGTGCGTTGGATATTTACGCTTTTGAAAAAAGCGTTGTATATGGCGCTTTGGGATGAGAATGCGTCTGTATTTTGTGATAAAATTGACAGAATTTAAAAGCTGAAAGTTTGTTGATTGTTTACTAAAATTAAAAGTGTTAAAACACATTAAAATCGACATATTAAAGGTGTCAAGTAGAAGGTAACTTCAAATCTTACTGCGATTATGGATGGCTGTTGGACTTGGACTGTTAGAGCTTCTTCGTGTGCACGAAACAGACACTGCCTTCCTGCACTTTTGGATGTTCATTCATTGACACGTCTCCATTGTTTTCTATCTCAGTGAGTTTTTTCACTGCAAAATCACAACATGTACATTTATATAGTCGCCAGTGGCGATCTAAGCAAAAATATCACTCGCAAGTTAAAATGCAGCCTATTAGAAACGTATGTCAAGCTAATAAAACATTTTTTGACTTCCCAATGCCCTAAGCTCTAGCAGATTTCCTTTTAATGAGACATCTGACATGATTTCTCAGTGAAGGCTCAGAAAAACTACACAACGAGGCTGCAAATTAAAGATACACCCTACAGCCTTGCTGGGCTAAAGTCTGCTAATGCACATCATGCAGCATTTTGGACAGGGCTAGAGAGAATAAATATTGTTAGCCTGATATTTGTAATGTCTTATCTGCATGTCGTTTTAATACAGCTCTGTCTAGTAAATGTCAGGTATTTCTGAGCTTACCGCCGAATGCCTTCGACACTCTGGGTGGGTGAAACAAAACTTCAGGCCTCTGTAAAGTAACTCTCCTGTAGGAAAAAACATTGAAACTATGCTGAAATCACAGTTAGCCCCAGTTAAAATCCTAAATATTGTAAAGCTGTCTATTTAAAGTCACATGAAGTTCAAACTCACATATTCAAAACATAGTTTGGCGTCAGTCAGAGTCTCTTATGCTCTCCAAAACTGAATTAATTACAAAAAATAGTAAAAACAATAATAATATGAAATATAATTAGTTATATTTTAAACTGTAATTGTGTTTCATACTATTACAGTTGTTACGATTTTGTAGTATTTTGTTTTCTATTTGAATATATTTTTTATGAATATGTTTCCTATTTTGTACATATTTATACTTTTTTTTGTTCAGCATAAATTTTTGTAACCAAGTAAAAGTCTTAACTGTCACTTTTGAGCAATTTAATCCTTGCTGATGAATAAAGTATTGATTAAAAAAAAGAACACAATTAAACTACAAAAAAAAAAACAAGATATGGATATATAAAATTTGTGATATGCACGTCTAAACGTAATACATACTGTATAGACTATTTCACAGACAAAACTCTCTTTTACAGTTCTGCTCATTGATATCAGTTTTATTTGTAACTGAGTGTCTCAAACAGAATGACTCAATTTCACTAATCTGGCTATTCAAATGCACAAAAATCAACTAGCTTTTAAATATGATCTTGAGCTGTATTAGACGGTCAGTGAACGGACTGTGGTGATCGTGTCATCTAAGGCTGAGACTAGATCAAATTATTGCCTATAGTAAACCATTCAATGATGTAACTGTCATTTCATCAGTTGAAAGACACACAAATAATAAAATCTCAGCACACTGATAGATTCCCGTTGTCTTTACAGGCACCGAAGTGTCCAGACAAAAGGAATTTCATTTAAATGTTGTTGAGATTGATTGATTTTCTTACAAGATTTAAAGTTTGACTAAGGGAGGGTCAGACTGAGTTGCCATTGACTGTGTCTAATTCAACATTGGGAACATGATGACAGGATCTGAGTCTGACTGACAACATCTGTGTATGACTCTGACAACAAAAGGATTTAGTTTCTTCAGTCTAGACTTGGAGTTTAAACTTTGCAACAGTCTGATTATGATATTTTTCTTACCTTTCCTGAAGCTGTCTTGAGGGAATCAATCCAGCCCTGAGGTTGGCGTCACCGTGCCGTCTGGCCTGCCACCAGGTGTCATCTTCTTGGCTTACAATCTGCAACACATCTCCTCTCCAGAATTCCAACCCGGCGTCTTTGCATGGAATAGCGGGATCTGCTTGGGGATCATAGTCGAAAAGTGCCCTCACAAAGATCTGCAACAATCCAATGTCGAAGTCACCAATTTTGGCTTAAATTATCTGGAGTGTAAAATTCAATGCAGAAAACGACTCTGTAAGCTTTTATTTTCATCAAGAGACCTTGGTTTCTTTGGTATCCGACTCTTCTTTGGTGCCAGGGATGACTTTGAAGGTCACTGCTGCTTCTGAATGGGCCTGGAGGATGTGATTATGACATACAGGCTCAAAATGACAAGGTTCAGATTGAATAACACTTAATCTACTGGTCAAAAGTTTGGAATAATCAAGATTTTTTTTAATGTTTTTGAAAGAAGTCAAGTAAAGTCAAGTACAGCAGCTTTACAGTGATAACAGAAAAATATTCCTCTTATGCTCATCAAGACTGCCTTTATTTGCCAAAATTACAGTATAAAATATTAATATTGTGTACATAAAATGTAAAAAAAAATTCAAATAATATTTTTACAATTTTAAATAACAGTATATTTTAAAATGTAATTTATTTCTCATGTGATAGCAAAGCTCATGATCCTTCAGGAATCATCATTTTATGCTCACATGGCACTTATTTATTAGCAATTATTATTGGTGCTTAATTATTAAAAATGTTTTTTTTTTTGTTATCATTTTTTTGTTGCATGATATTTTTGTGGAAGGCTTGATACCTTGTTTTCAGGATTCATTGATGAGAGTTAAAGCTACACTGTGTGATTTTTACCCCCATCTAGCCGTGAAAAGGTTTATGACCATCCAGTGAATATTAGTTTCTGTTCCTCTCAATTCCGATTTCGTTTTAACTCCTACGGTGGCCAATGTAGTCCAAGATTAACAAGACTTCCAGTTCAACCTCGTCCATGAGTGTTAACTCAAACGTAAACGCGAAAGGCGAAGCTTGAATTAACGATATGTCCCTCTTTGGCTAATGTACTTTCAAGAATGGAGGGGCAACATGGCGGCCGACAATAGAAACCCTTACCCGTATGTATTTTCAATGGCATATTATACGCTCACGAGAATACTTTATTACTTGAACGAAGTAAATATACATTCATGAGCACATATATTTTGAAAGAACTAAGTGTTTTTAGCTAAGAATAAACTAAAAGAGTTACACAGTGTAGCTTAAAAGAAAAAAAAAATAATTTATTTGAAATAGTAAATGAAGTTTTCACAGATAAAATCACAAAGTGCTGTACATGAGGATAAGTAAAACAAATATAAAATGTATATACATATTTAATGTATTTTTAATGTACTTTACTGTTCCTTTTGATTAAAAATATCATTATTATTACAATTATTTATTATACCTACCAATCCAGAGTGTGGGGTATAACAGTTTCCACAAAAAATATTAAGCAGCAAACATTCAAAAACATGATGATTAGCATATTAGAATGATTTCTGAAAAAAATATAGTCATTGCAAAATTTTGACTAGTAGTGTATAAACAAAGAATGCAAATTTGTTGCTCCAGAAAAACCTCAAACACAAATGGACACCACGTGAAACTAAAGCACACACCAAATGCCCAAACACATTCAAGCATGCAGCTTAGACAAACATCAGTTCCTATTCTGGACATTTTTGGCCTAGCCAGCTTTAGCCGTGCTAACCAAGAGAGGTTTGCTGGTTAAGCTAATTAAGAAGCCTGATGGGGACACCAGCACACTAGCATCCCATGCGGGGAACCAGCATCCAAACACGCTGGCGACTGGCCAGCAATACATACTAGAATGGGAATGATCTCCTCAGGGTTCTTGTCCTCCATTGGAACTCCATTGACTTCCTTGAGTTTGTCACCTTCACGAATTAGACCTGTAGCATCCACCAATGAAGCAATGAGAAGAAAGAATCGGCAGAAAGAATTACGTTAAACATTGTGAGGTGAATTCAGTTATTTCAGCACAAAGCTCTGTGTGTCTTATTCACTAACCACTCACACTGCAGCTTTAGGAACTATAAGCATAACTACAGTATGTATTACACTGTTGTCTTATGTGCATAATTTCTTTAGCCAGTAGCATTCAGAATTCTCTTAAATTAGCAAGACTTTAAGTGTGTTTTTCACACTGTATTTAGTTTAGTTTTAGTGTTTGGTTGTTGTTTTTTTTACATGATGTATATTTTAAGTTTACAATGTTACATGTTTTGAACCAACTTGCTTTTGTCTTAGTTTTGGTTTATGATAATAACCTTGCAGTAGAGGATTTAAAGTTTCAATGTGATGTAACAGATTGTCTTCCTCACTATGAAGTGCATCCAAGAGAAACAGAATGAAGGAAGATTTGAATGCGAGCTTGCAGTCTTTTGAAAAAAAGGGGGCGGGGTTGAATCTGACTAAATGATTGGAGAAGTCCAGCGAACATCACTAGAAAAAAAGTCAGTCATTTCACTGGAAGTTTGAGGTGTGACATTTTTATGAAATATCACAAAATTGTACACAATAAGATGGTAAATTTCCATTTCATGTCGACATAAAGGGTTATTTAATGGCATTAATCAATACACATATTTAGTTTCTAATTATAAGAGTGTTGATCAAGAACACAATGGTGGGTAACGCTTTATTTCGATAGTCCACTTTAGACATTATATAAGTAACTTTGCAACTACATGTCAACTAACTGTCATTAGAGTATTAGTAGACTGTCAGCTTAATATCTGCTAACAATTTATTTTGTTGGTCCCCCAGCAGACATTCAACTCAAGACATTCGACTATAAGTAACTTGGCGACTCCTTGTACTTATTCTCCTAACCCAAAGCCGAACATCTAACCATAACCTAACAATCTACTGACAGTCTACTATAATATACGAATACTCTAATGAAAGTTAGTTGACATGTAGTTGAAAAGTTAGTAGAACGTCTAAAGTGACTATCGAAATAAAGTGTAACCCAATGGTGAAAGAGGTTATAATATTAATACATTTAAAGTGCATCTTACCACTCCGATCAGCAGCTCCTCCTCTCAGGACCCGAGCTACAACTAAAGCACCAGTGGACTCGTCCCTCTTTATGGTGGCTCCCTGGAACATAGAAATGTTTGTTGATGGTCTGTAGGCTGTCATTCAGAAATACAAGTCTAACATTTTAAAATTCATTCAAAGCAAATCGACTGTAAACCACAAGGTTATATATCTGGAGGGACCAATTTCTAGCAAACAATCCTAGTTTGCCTTTTAAATCAATATGTGACTGTCAGGAAAAGTCCAAGTAGAAATCTGGACAGAATTTCTTTATAAAGGGCAATACAGATGTGAATAGCACAATAGGAATCTTAAACATGTTATGCAGTGGGAGCGGAGTGTTAAATGTTCCATGAAACCATGACGAATAAGTCAAACTTAAAGCTCAAATTAAGACAAAGAAAAAAGCTTTTGTTTAAATCACACAGCTTGCTGACATGTGTCAAACATCAGATCAGTTGTCTTTCCTCAGCAGCCAGTGAAATGATTCTTTCAGGTTCATTAGATCGAAACACACATCAGATTTGACCTTTATAAATTATACACAACTGTGTTTTGCTTCAAGTCCATTTCATTAGTGCCATCTCACATTGCTTAGAGAGAAAAAAGATGGGAAGATTGTCCCAGGACAATCAATACACCAACAATGGCCACCACATACAGCTGCACTAATACTGTATCTCCAAAACATCTTAACAACTTGCACAGGTCATGCAATAAACTAGTCGAAACTATGGTTAAAAGAACATTTTAGTCCTCAAAGGGCCTCTAACATGCCCCGTTTCAGGAGACCACGCTTTAACAAGCCTGTTTAGAAGCAGACAATGATGGCAGTGAAGCCACATGGGACACTGATACAGGAGTTAGGAGGCCCCGGATAGTTCCTTGACCACAGAAGCCAAAATGGCCTGTAATCCTTAATCACAGGGCTCAGGTCCCCTCTTAGAAGCACAAAAAGATCTCTGGATTGTGGAGAACTTTCTAGTTCCTTCACATGCTTCTTAAATAGAACATGGAAACGCCATGACCCAGTGTTTATAGCTCACGACCCATGGTGCGGAGAAAACAGATGGGTTCAGGACTGTGCCTCTTTAATAATGGCCTGCTCCAAGACAAAACGATCATATTTAAGGTTAATGGTTTAATCACTGATCACAAAACCACAGACTTGGCAACACTGATTAGATCACCATATGCAAAGCAATTGAGAAACAAACCACTGAAATAATACAAGAAAAGAAAGATACCATTCAAAAGATTGGGTTTAGTAGATTTTTTTTCTTTCCTTATGTTAATCAATCAAAAATACAGTGAAAACTGTAATTTTTAAAAATGTTATATATATATTTTTTTTTTTATTTAAATATATTGTAAAATGTAATTTATTCCTATGATGGCAAAGCTTATTTTTCAGCGTCATTTCTCCAACCTTCAGTGTCACATGATCTTTCATTTTGAAATGCTGATAAAGAAACATTTCTGATTATTAACAGTTATGCAGCTTAATATTTTTTATGATGAAACTAGGATGCAACTATGATGCGTTTGTTCAAATAAACAGCATTTATTTGTTGTTTTGCAGCATTAATTTTGTTTTTGAAGCAGAGTAAAAGTCGATTTTATTGCTGAATAAAAGTATAAAAAACTTTTAAACGGTACAAAGCGTATATAATTAGGTAAGGCAGATATACGGACAGATTTTTATTTGATGAAACTGCATTTGTTCCCTTCAGACTTCAAGAATATTGTGTGTATTTGACTGTTGTCTGATTAATTCATCATAGACTATTCCATTCCAATCACAATCATGGTAGACGACAGATGAAAAAAAACAAACAAAAAAACATTTAATCTAGTGAGTGGATGGCAAGGAGGGACTCTTCGTCACGGTTGTACCGAAAAATGATGATGCTATTTCTTTTCATTCTCTGCAATTCATAAAGCCTCATTCAAATGGCTGCCTCCTTCAGCATTATTCGCCAGATGTTATAGACAAAAGGAGAAATAATGGAGAAAATCGCCATTTTACAAGCTATGCATTGTGAATGGGAATTCAGCCACATTGTGCGTCAGAAGTAGAAGGATAACCCACGATAAAAAGATAAACCTTGTTTGAGAGGGTTCAATCTGAAGTCATGCGTTTTACATGCAGAGTGCTGTACAGTGTTTCCTATTTGTATTCAAAGCATCCCATTTAACTAACACAATTGTAAGTCCAGATGGTTTTGTTCAGTGATGGAAAATATGATTCTGGAGGTAGAGTTGAGGGCAAAACTGATCCAGGTTGCAATTTGATACTCTAGCATTATAGGATAATCCAAATCTTCCCTCTAAATATGCTGGCCTTATTAGTGTTCTGCTGATTACAATCAAAAACAATTCAGCGAAGTAATCAATTTCAGTTGATTTCAATTGATTCCTAATCAATTTCAGAGCCATGACCTTTATTTAAACATGAGTAATGGAATGTTAACCTATATGGATGATATTCTTCAAAAATTAGTTTTAAAAAGTATCTGATAGTTGACAGGGTTGAAGGGAGTACAATGTACTTTATATTTCAAGCTGCAAGATCTCAGAATGAATTAGCTGAGCTTCAACTACTGTAACCTGTTTTAACCAGCCTTATCTAAATGAATGGACTATATTCTTATGTTTTACTCACGTTATCCAGAGAGACCTACCAGTGGCTCCTGGTTTTTTATCAGGCAAACAATCTTGATCGAATCTTCCTCTTTCTCATCGTTATCAGGCAAAGGAGGCAAAGGAGGCAACCGCGGGTCAAACTCTTTCTGGGCCACCATGTCATGCACTGAGAGAAAAGCCTGAAGAGGATAATGAGAGCACAGGTATGACAATTGGCTGGTTGGGAATTTGGTTAGCAGTATTTCTATGGGATAATGTTGGGGAAAATGCATTTATTTTTACAATTTTTTTATTTAATCTAACATTACTATGATAGTGGGTAGAAAAAAGATTAATGTTTTGCTTATAACTATTTAAATAATTTGCTTTAATACAAAGACAATCATTTTTTTTTTTTTTTTTTATTCATAGATTTATGTTACGAAAGGGTCTTTACGTATAAAAATATCTGCCTTTATATTTTAAGAAAGGGGCCCATGAAAAAAATGCATATTTTGGGGGTCAAAATACATATTTTATGGAGTTTGAAAATACCTGTTTAGTTGTCGTTACACACAAAAAACAAAAAAAAAATAGCCTAATGACATGACTGCCCAATCATAGCAATATCCCTTACAATAGCATTCAAAAGATTGGGGTCAGTAGTTTATATATATATATATATATATATATATATATATATACATGAAGAGTTCAGATGCAAAAGCCTCTAAATGCCATTTGAAATTTTCTTCTTTAATGATGATTTTTATCAAACTTGTATATTTAAGTTCAGTGATTTCACTTAAATTGCAATGATAATTACCTATTAATTGTTATTTAAGTGAAATTACTGAACTAGTTTGATAAAAATCATCATTAAACAAGAAAATTTCAAATGTCATTTTGCAGGCTTTTGCATCTGAACTCTTCATATATATATATGGTAACACTTTACAATAAGGTTCATTAGTTAACTACATTAGTTAACATTAACTAAGAATGAACAATACTTCTACAGCATTTGTTAATCTTTGTTAATGTTAATTTCAACATTTACTAATACTTTATTAAAATCTTGTTAGCATTAGTTAATGCACTGTGAACTAACATGAACAAACAATGAAAAGCTGGATTTGTATTAACTAACGTTAACAAAGAATAACAAAAACAGTAACAAATGTATTGCTCATGGTTAGTTCATGGTTAGTTAATACATTAACTAATGTTTAATAAATTAACCTTATTGTAAAGTGTTACCATATATATATATATATATATATATATATACACTCACCTCAAGGATTATTAGGAACACCTGTTCAATTTCTCATGAATGCAATTATCTGATCAACCAATCACATGGCAGTTGCTTCAATGCATTTAGGGGTGTGGTCCTGGTCAAGACAATCTCCTGAACTCCAAACTGAATGTCAATTTTGAGCGCGGCATGGTTGTTGGTGCCAGACGGTCCGGTTTTTCACAATCTGCTCAGTTACTGGGATTTTCACGCACAACCATTTCTAGAGTTTACAAAGAATGGTGTGAAAAGTCCTGTGGGCGAAAATGCTTTGTTGATGCTAGAGGTCAGAGGAGAATGGGCCGACTGATTCAAGCTGATAGAAGAGCAACTTTGACTGAAATAACCACTCGTTACAACCGAGGTATGCAGCAAAGCATTTGTGAAGCTACAACACGCACAAACTTGAGGCGGATGGGCTACAACAGCAGAAGACCTCACCGGGTACCACTCATCTCCACTACAAATAGGAAAAAGAGGCTACAATTTGCAAGAGCTCACCAAAATTGGACAGTTGAAGACTGGAAAAATGTTGTCTGGTCTGATGAGTCTCGATTTCTGTTGAGACATTCAGATGGTAGAGTCAGAATTTGGCGTAAACAGAATGAGAACATGGATCCATCATGCCTTGTGCATGACTGTGCAGGCTGGAGGTGGTGGTGTAATGGTTGGGGGATGTTTTCTTGGCACACTTTAGGCCCCTTAGTGCCAATTGGCCATCGTTTAAATGCCATGGCCTACCTGAGCATTGTTTCTGACCACGTCCATCCCTTTATGGCCGCCATGCAGGATAATGCACCATGTCACAAAGCTTGAATCATTTCAAACTGTTTTATTGAACATGACAATGAGTTGACTGTACTAAAATGGCCCCCACAGTCACCAGATCTCAACCCAATAGAGCATCTTTGGGATGTGGTGTAATGGGAGCTTCGTGCCCTGGATGTGCATCCCACAAATCTCCATCAACTGCAAGATGCTATCCTATCAATATGGGCCAACATTTCTAAAGAATGTTTTCAGCACCTTGTTGAATCAATGCCATGTAGAATTAAGGCAATTATGAAGGCAAAAGTGGGTCAAACACAGTATTAGTATGGTGTTCCTAATAATTCTTCAGGTGAGTGTATATAAATGAATACTTTTCTTCTATTTCAAAAAAATATTAAGCAGCTGTTTCCAACATTGATAATAATAAGGGCAGCAAATCAGCATATTAGAATGATTTCAGAGGGAAGACTGGAGTAATGACAGCTACACTCTAAAAAATGCTGGGTTGTTTTAACCCAACTTTGGGTCAAATATGGACTAACCCAGCCGTTGGGTTAAATTTTTACATTACATTTTTAACCCAACATTTCGGGTTTGTCCATATTTGACCCAAAATTGGGTTAAAACAACCCAGCATTTTTTAGAGTGTAGAAGTTCATATCTGGCATCACAGAAAATAAAACATTTTAAAATATATTCAAAAAAATAGTTATTTTCGATTATATACAAATTTTACAATATTACTGTTTTACCGTATTTTTGATCAAATAAATGCAGTCTTGAGGAGCATAAGAGACTTCTTTCAAAAACATTAAAAACAATCTTACAGACCTCAAACCTTTGAATATATCCAGGGTAAAATATATTTTCAGCAAATCAAATAAGTCAACAATCAACGCTGTTGATTGGTCTTCGCACTTGGCCTGATAAAGTATCTTTCCACACTGAATATCACCTCACTGAGGCAACCCACTCTTGCCTTATAAAAAAGTGAGAGCCAAACAAATGATCCAAGAAGCAACATATCATTAGACCAATCACAAATAAAGCTGTCAGGGCCCTCATAAGTAAAAACTCCTGAACTCTATAAACTTAATGTGTGGGTCTGGTTCGTAACAACTCTAAAGGTGAATTTTCGCTCTTTTTATGTCCAGTTCATGCTTGATGTCAGAGAGTAATGTACATTTTCAATATTTTATCAGTTGTATATAATCATCGGCTCCTAAAGAAGATTATGCAAGCCTACAAGAGACAACTCGTGAAAAGAAAGAAATACTCATAACTTGGATTAATTTTACACCAAAAACTACTATAAATGTACTTTATCTAATGACACCAAGCCAGTGTCAGACATGTCAAATCCTTTCTTGACCCACATTCTCTTCTCACCTGTACATGAGGTTTGGAGAGCAAGTGTAACAGCTCTGTTGTCTCTGGGCTGGTGACAACACCACGCAGCTCTTCCGCCAACTGGAATGACACATGAAAAACAACAACATATTATAATGTCTATATGTTATTACAGGCAAAAGTCTCTGGCCATCCCTTTTGGCTCATAGTTTATGCTCAAGTATCATGAACCGATCTGGAAAGAGTTTGCTTTGGCAATGCTTGGTGGTCTGGTTCAATCTATCCCAACCCACTTGACAATACTATGCGAGTGTTTACATAGCAGGTCAAAAAGCCACAGAACCATGCGCCCTGGAGAAATAACTGTTTCTGTTGTGGTTCAGCCAAGCAAAAACCAACTAGACCGAATGTGGTTGTGAGTAACACCGGACCTGACGTTAAACATACATTAAATCTCCGAAACTGAAATTTTACACTGAGCTGCAACGTAAGGAAAAGGCTTTTAACGGCTTAATGCTTAAAACGTCCTCCTCGTTTTCAGTCTGAGAGAAGATGGAAATCGATATCACTTCAAACCCACTCTTTGCCTTAATGAAATACAGCGTGCACAGTCAAAAGCTGGAGATAATCTTTGTTTTAAGAGTCTCTGCAGAATTGAGTTGATAAAGACAGGGCTGATTGTTTTTGCAAGATGTGCAAGGAAGAGGAAAAACTTAGGCTAGGCTAATAGAAATTTGAATACTGTCAAAGAGAGATAATTGTAATGAGGAAAGAAAGAGATTGAAGAGCAATCCGACTGATAACGTAAAAATGGTAACGTTAATGATTTTGAGATTTTTAATTTACAGGGCAGAACATTCAAATCAGCATATTAGAATAATTTCTGAATGATCATGTGACACTGAAGACTGAAGCTCATTTAGCCATTAAAAGGTGCAAAAATATACTGATTCGCATGATGCTTCCAAGACTATCAAAAACAATGACAACTGGATCTAAGTCTTCAATGACACACAGCTCATATTACCATGCTTTACTGGAGCACAACACATGAAATAAGTGACATATGACATGGAAGACATGTACTTGTCCAGTGCGGATTCATAGTGAAAGCAATGTGACAAGCGATGAAACAAGTGGCTTTTGCATCAACTGGTTCAGGTCAATGGCCATGTTTATTGATGTGTGCAGCTTTCTCCTTTCTCAGATTCATAAGCAGATTCAACACAGTAACGCATTATTAATGCTGAATTTCTCCAAAACACTAGTTTAGTCTCGCAAGGGGTGTCTCACAAAGCAGGTTGAGGAATGACTAATGATTTGATCCTGATTTATCAGTTAACTATGATAAACCATAATGAGTTTCACATGAAGTGTGACATTTACGAACATCATGTGAAACAAAAGAAAGTCGGTGCGATTAAATTCTCATCTGGTGAATGTAAATGTTTTAATGTAAATAAAATGCTTACAAATGTTGTTAAACTTTCAATTCATACATGATCATGCAGTTCTTGAAAGTATACAAATGTCATGAAACCTCAGGTCATATAGTACCTAATGGATTTTTATTTTATTTTTTACAAATGTGCAAATGCAAAAAGGTGTTTGGTAGCTATGAGTGATCTGGATTCAAAAGAAAATAAAACAATATAAGAAAGACTGGTCTTCCTTTATATTAGGTGTCTTTAACATGCACTTTATGCATGTACTTACATAAATATGACAAAATAATAATAGTTAGATCCAAAATTATTTGGTGTGTACTATAGGTAAGTTTAAGGGTTGGTAAAGGAGTCAAGAGTGCACAGTGTTCAATTTGATTACTATAAGGGAACACGGTTCAAACTTTTACATTGTTTCAACATATGTATTTTCTTGAAAAAAAAATCTCCTGTTGATGTATGATTCAAGGAATATCCTCTGTTTAAGGATAGTATACTAAGTGCTGAGGCAATAAAAACATGTTTTGCACCCAAATTACATCATGTGTACACAAACCTTGTTACAGCTAAAAGTCAAAAGCACATAAAGGTACTTAATGATTAGTAAACATTTATAAACATTTACAATTAATGAACAGTTTCAACTTTAGATTGGGTTCTGCAAAAAGATGAACAAATAAATTAATATATAATTTGTAAAGATCTGTAAAAAAAAAAGAATAAAATAAAAAGTGAATTCAGGTAAATTGGGACACTTTTGCCATTGAAATGGCTGCCCTTTAAGGTACTAAATGATTAGTAAAGGTATGCAGGGTGATCTGAGGATTACAGTGGGAGCTCTTCCACCAGGTGAATCCATGTGGCTACTCACTCTTCTTTTCCACCACAGGCTGTGGAGCATCCGGCTATGGTTGCTGGGCCTTCTCACGTAGGGTTCCTGCGTGGGACCAGATGTCGATCTCTACATCGAAGGGTGGGATAGCAGCCCATTCTCACCCCCATGGCGTCACCAAACTGGCATTTGACCATGCTTCAATATCTGACGCTTTAGGCGCCCTTTAGCGTCAGTTAGATGACGCCCTAGGATCGCGTGTACCCTACCCCCATCCCAGACCTAAACCTAACCGCGTCCTCTAACTCAGTGTTTCCCAACCCTGTTCCTGGCGGCACACCAACACTGCGTGTATTCTTTGTCTCCCTTATCAAACACACCTGATTCAACCCATCAGCTCATAAACATGTGGGTTAATGAGCTGATGGGTTGAATCGGGTGTCTTTGATTAGGGAGACAAAGAAAACACGCAGTGTTGGTGTGCCGCCAGGAACAGGGTTGGGAAACACTGCTCTAACTGACGCTTTCCTTTAGCATCAGTTACTGTAGATGACGCCGTAGGATCGCGTCATGTAAGTGACGCTAAAGGGGGCCTTAAACGTCAAATATTCAAGCATGGTCAAAGGTGACGTCTTGGGGTGAGAATGCGTTGGGGAAAGAGTCCTCTGGGGATGAAGATTTGGCTGTGCTGCCCCCTTCGGGGAGAGTAGTGTTGTTCGATTCCAATCCGGAGCTGACTGCCATGCTTTCCAACCCTCCACCGTGTCCTAAACCTTCTCCTCTTCCCAGAAGTGCACAGGTCACCTTTTTCTGCCAGAAACGGCTCAGCTGCCTCCTCCGCTCTCGCTACTCTTGATGGCAGGGTGGTGAAAATGTACGTGGAGATCCCACAGGTGGAGTGTGCAGTTGCGGTGCAATTGTGTCTGCAAAATGCTGTCACCTGGCGGGATCGTTCACGTCTCCCTTCCACTTCCAAGTTCTCGTCTGCACTCACACCCAAGGCTTACAGTGCTGCCTGGATAGGCTGCCTCCACCCTGCATGCCATGGCCCTACACAACCCGGTCTCATCCCAAGACGTCATATAACTGACGTTTTGGGACGTCTTTTGACCATACGTCAATATTCGCCTTTTTAGGGCCCCCTTAAACGTCGGTAGATGAGGTTATGGGATCCTAACTCTACCCCATACCTAAACCTAACCCTAAACCTAACCCGTCACCTAACTGACGTTAAAGGTAAAGCGTCAGTTGTATGACGGCCCGGGATCGCCATCTACCGACGTTTAAGGGGGCCCTAAAAAGGCGGAAATTGACGTATGGTCAAAATACGTCCCAAAACGTCAGTTATAAGACTTTTTGGGATGAGACTGTGTTACCCTACACAAGGATAGTTCTGATGCAGGACAGCGCGTACAGCGACAGACCTCGGCCTCCAGGCAACGAAAGTCCCTGGGGCTGGTGATGTCCACCCTAGTGGTCCAGGAGCACCATCTCTGGCTGAACCTGACCGAGATGAAGAAGGTTGACAAAGTTCGCTTTCTCGACTCCCCATCTCCCAAGTCGGCCTCTTCCCTGTCGAGAACTTTGTCCAACATTTCTCGGCAGTACAGAAGCAGACGGAGGCGATGGAATCCTGCCCTGTCAGTCTGAGGCTGCCCCCCGCCCCGCCTGCTCGTCACCAAGGGCGTCCCTGCAGGAAGTTAGAATCATTTGGAACATTAGAGATTCTCCGTGCACAGCCTCTGTGCCTCTTCTTCTGTTACAACAGGTGACCAAAAGGCATGCTGGGGACTCGGAAAGGGCAGCAGTGGTGGCGTCTTCCTAATTCGTCAATCATTCTGACATAACGTCAAGCATGACTGAATAATAGGGAAGGAGGAAGGAGGAAACGGAGACGTTACGCCCTGTCGCCACAATTCCTGTACCTCCTCTGGCACGCTGCCTTATATACCCGGAAGCGGCTGCAAAACGTGCATCGGCTTTGTTCTGTTACCATTTGAAGATGATTGGGCTCTCAGGCGAGATCCCAGGTCGTCAGTCGTTCTGACTTAACATCATCGTTCTCTCCTTCAGAGCTATCTTCATAAGCTTTAAAAATACGTTTCTGTTTTTCACATATACAATGGTACACACACATATATACCATGTAATAATATGTATTTTAGATAATAAATAATCTGAGTTTTTTCCCAATCTTTCCCTACTTCCTGAGACAGGCCTCTGACCAGCATTACGTAGCATTATTGGCTCAACCAATGGTGCAATTTTAGGGTGGGACTATTTATTTGTCCAACCAGGGGCAGATAAAAGGGGTGTTGGGGAAACTTCTTTGAAACCTTTTTTTTTTTATTTCCATTTCATCATGTTGGTGGTTATACACTGAGTTAAGGGAAAACCAGGTAATATTGTAGCCTGGCTGCGCCCTCCTACACACTTCCGCTCAATTTCATTTTCCTTCAGTACTACGTCTGGGACTGCTGTGTATCCTCAGGTTTCCAGAAATCAATTTTTTGTAGCACCAATCAGCGAATAGAGGGGAGTGGCTGAGAACGAGGACGTTGATGCAGCGCGTCAGTTTGAGATCAGTAATGGCAGCGGAGAAAGATGTGAGAAAAGCTATTCGGCCCGTTGTAGGAAAAGAAACTGCCGAATATACAGAATTTAAAGCCGGATTGTTATCGTCTCACCTCTTGTTGCACAACGGAGGACCACGTGAAGGAGGCAGAAAGGTTGGAAGTTTGTGCTGGGCAGCTCGGCGTGAACGATGACCGTGACATTTTGGACGGACGCTTTAGCCCGGTGTTCGGAAGCCCAGAGTCCTGGCAACTAAACTATTGTTGAAGATCCGCTCAGGAGTCATGACAGCTCATATTCCCAACTGTAAATTTACTGATTCTTGTGATGAGTTGAACATTTTGAGCCCCTTTGTGTACTCCTGCAGGAGGTTGGTGTGTCAGTTTTACATGTTGTAATCATACAAATTGGTTGTGATTTTTTAAAAATAATTGTCATATTGTTTTTTTTCAATTGTCAATTGTATATCACTGTCCTTCGTGTCAAATATACATTTCGAATTAATAATTTTTCCTAGATTAACAAAACCTGCAGCTCTCGTTGACTGAAATCCTATTGTAAATAATCCTCTGATCATTCGGACTTGCTGTTTCCAGCCGTTTCGGCCACACGTTAGCGATTGGCTATGGCAGATCGTGAGTGACTCTGGGCAGATCCAATAGTTTTGAACTTTAATAGTGAACGCGCCTACAAGGAAGTAAACGTTTCTCAATGGAGAGAGGCCAGACTCTATGTACAAATGAAATGTACTGGAGTCTGGTTGAACCAGGCTAGTAATATTGGCCATTTTTACTCAAAAATGCAGTTTTGGCCTGCTTTGGAGTTGCCAAATTATTTCATAAAAAAAACAAGTAAATAAGTGAGTGTCTGTGAAGCAGCATGTGCAGCACATATTTATTTGACTCTGGAGTGTTCACCATTGTAATCCCTTCCAGTACACTTCAAACCGACAACACTAAACAGACTAAAGGTCCTGCAACTGAATCTCGTCCCAGCTCTGCTGGATTGTCTGATCACTCTGGTCTGGAGACAAAAACCACTAGATGCCCCAGAGGAGAACTTACATCCTGAGCCAGGCCCTGTGTGCTATCCAGCAGCGGAGCAGGCCGCTGAGCCCTGTACTTCTGCAGCCTGTCATAGACCTGTGAGAAGAGGAGAAGTGGCGTTAGGCTGTCGTCCAATGCCCAGAGGGTTAGTGCTTAACCCTTTGACCCTCACCCTTCAAATTCATCTAGTAGCAAAATGTTCCTCTGTATTATTTTGTGGGTAATATATCATATAGTCTGATGTAAAGTACAGTCAAAAGATAATATATCAGTCAAATACAAACTAACATTAAAGGCTAAGGAGTTTTGAGTGCTTGTCTGTCTATCCATTTGGCTGCACTTTATGCGCGGCATAAAGCAATGGGAAAGCTATTGGAATATCAGCCAAGAAAGATGTAATCATATTTACGGCCCTCACACAGCTAACAGTACTCATAAAGAGGAACAAGTTTCAAAACAGATGTATTAAGTAAAACAATTTTACATTTTTTAAAAGATGATATCACACACTAAAACCAGACACTTTTGGCCTGGGCTGCATTCTATACAAAACTTAACAAAGTATTTTTACAGACTTGCCGTCACTTAATGTCTCTTGTTGTTTCTTAATGCAAATCCGTGTGCAAAAAAAAAAAAATCACAACTAAGAGGATAATTTTTTTATTTCCACAATAAGAGAACTGCCATTATGTCAACCCAGTGATATGCAAAAACTCCAATTTATGGAGATGTATTCTGACTCAGACCACATGCTACATGTATTTCAGATTTTTATGGTACATTTCTTGTAAAGTTTCTTCTTGTTTGTAATGGCAGTATAATTGCTTATTTTCCAACAGAAAAAAAGAGCTCTGATTTCCTTTACAGTCAAATGGCAGAGCCTTGGAAAAAGCAGAAACATTCTCTTTGCGCATACTTAGTATAATCCTTTAGTTGCATGTTTGTGTTCGCTGCCGCTGAGATGGATTCTGACATTGGTTGGAACTTGTTGTGTGGTGAGAATTGGTCTGAGATATTTCAAACTCATGCAGAAATGTTTTGTACAAAATAAGTGAACAGCTTGCATATTGGGGATACCTGTCAATGTAACAAACACTTTTCTTTTTAATGGCCCCTCAACAAGTGTGCAGGTTAAGTTTCAAGAATTTTATTTTAGCAGTGAATTGTGACTATAAAAATATTGAGAATGATTTTATAATCATTATAGTTGCAGATTTGTATGATCTAATTTTAATTTAAAACTACATGGAATATTTGTTCATTTAAAATCACTTTACATCCACTATTATTCAAAAGTTTGAGGTTGGTAAAATTTTGTTTTAATAATTATCATGACCTCTTATGTCCACCAAGGCTGTATTTATCTTGTATATATATATATATATATATATATAATTAAAATGTATGTATGTATATATGTATATATATATATATATATATATATATATATATATATTGTATATATATATATATATATATATAGTAACATTTATTTTGAAATATTTATTATTTTATTTTAATCATTCATTATTAATAATTATTAATAATTATTAATATTTATAATTAAAATGTATACATTTATTTTGAAATATTTATTTTAGCAATGTAAAAGTCCTCATTGTCACTGATCACATCCTTGTTAAATAAAATATTAGTGCATTTAATTAATTCACTCGTTCATTCATTCCAAAAATCATGAATAAGAATAAAACATCATAAATGTGTTTTATATCCTCTGCACATGTTTGTATGAGCATGTTTTATAATATAGCATGAAGCAGTATTCATAAATGCAACTGGTATTTAATGTAATGCTTTAAAATGATCATCGTGGGCATGCATTTATGCAAGTATTTTCTTTATGACAGAAACAGTTTTCAAACTATTTTCTTCTGTAGTTTCTCTAAAGAAAGTAAACAAGTCAGATTGATTGGAAAATCTGATCCTTTCTTAGCATTAAAAGAGCAACATGGAGCAAGAGCACTGAACACTTAACAGCTCCACGTGACTCATGGAACAGAGCACCAGCAGTCCAGCTGAGCTGTGTTTGGGCTTTTATCACAGTCTCCCCTTCGACCTCTCCTCACCTCCCCCTCTCTCGGTGTCGCAGACAGCATGTGCTGGATTCATTAGACTCGTCTGCCAGCAAAATATGATTCTGGGTGTGCACTGACTGCAGTGCTTGGAGAACTTAGCTTGCAAAAGATTTCATCCTGAAGAAATGCCAGGGTGCCCAGTGCCCATAACTAAACAAAGTGAGTAAAAAATGAATAAACAAGTAGTGAGAGACTCACTCATTGAATGAATGGATGAACAGGGACGGATTTTTAATTAATGAGTTATATAACACTGAACCAGGTGAAATAAGCGATAAGCAGGTGAAATAGAGGCTGGTATACACTACATTAATTTAAATCATACAGATTTTAAAACATAAACTTGCTGACTTTGAAAAAAGTTAAAGAGGAAAAGCTGCATCATACTGTACAAAACGACTGAGGGTCACAAACTACCAGGCCATTTTGAATACAAACAAACTCAGAAACATACACCTCATTGCTCGGAGACACGTAACAAATATGAAAACAATATGTGCTCTCGTCACAAACGTGTTTACTAAATCAAAGAAATGAGACACAAGTGAACCAACTCAATCAATCAATTAAAGTGATAGTTCACTTTGAAATTAATTTTTCATATGTTTTAGCTTACCTCAAGGGCATCCAAGATGTAGGTGTCTTTATTTCCACAGTATTTTCAATTTTGAGATTTTTCGGTCAAACCGTTCTTGTCTATCAGGGGTCCACGTCAAAGAGCATGCAATGAGAAGTCAAAATTAAACGTGATTTAATAACTCCTAAATGTAAGTACACATTGATGGCCTAAGACACGAAACGAGCGGTTTGTGTGAGAAAACGAACAGTATTTATATCGTTTTTACCTCATGTAACCACAGCCATGTCCAACTGATCTTAAGGCACAGGCGTTTCGGTTTGCGCATGCGCCGGAAGTGATCGCTTGCGTGTGTACGTCACTCATTGTTTACACAGAGATTTCTGAAGTTTTACCTTTCACTAAACATATTTAGATATACTCGTCTTCCATTGCGATTTAAGGTAAAACTTCCGAAATCTCTGTGTAAACAATGAGAGACGTACACGCGCGAGAGATCACTTCCGGCGCAAGCGCAGACCGAAGCGCCCGTGCCGTCAGATCAGTTGGACATGGTTCAGTTCGGTTCAGTTGGACATTGTACAACTGATTCAGATTACTTGGGCATGGCTGTGGATACACGAGGTAAAAAACGATATAAATACTGTTTGTTTTCTCACACAAACCGCTCGTTTTGTGTCTTAGGCCATCAATGTGTACTTACATTTACGAGTCATAAAATCATGTTTAATTTGGACTTCTCTGTGCATGCTCTTTGACGTGGACCCCCTAAACCTCCATTATATGACTGACAGACAACAACGGTTTGACCGAAAAATGTCGAAATTTAAATTACTGTGGAAACAAAGACACCTACATCTTGGATGCCCTTGAGGTAAGCTAAAACATATCAAAAATGAATTTCAAAGTGAACTATCCCTTTAAATACCATGGAAATCAATTAACTCAGACAACTCAACAAACGAAAAACAAACGAAAATCCAACTCAAGCAAACACAGAGAAAATTAGACAACCCAGACAGCTCTAATATCGGCTCAAATAATCAAACGTGTCCTCCAACTGAATGGAATCATAGTCTGAAGATCATACACTACACATCATCATACACTCCTATTTTCCATTAAATATGTCAACTGCCAATCAATCTGTCTTTTTCCTAGGTGTCACTTGTTTTCATGTTAGCCATCTGTATATATACACCTGTGTTTCCCTTGTTTGGTGTCTGGTGCTCTCCTTTATGCATGTTTACGAGTGTGTTGTGCTCAGTTCTGTTTTGCCTGCCTTGCCCAGTCACGGCAACTAAAGCTGTCTCTAATTCTTTGGACTCTCTCTCTCCAGCTCCGCCGGCCCCGCTGTGGTTTCGTGTGGTCACTCACTGATAGCTTCACAGTTTTTAAAACCACGTGTAAGTACTGGCTACCATCAAAACAAATCTGCAACCACTAATTGTGTTGTAAATTCTTTGTTTTTATAAACTGAATTTGTAAATCTTACATTCCTGGACATATGTATTGTGATGTTTTATGTGGTGTAAATGTATAGCATTGTATGTTATTTTATTTTTTTACCTGCCCATGGATAGCAGATGTAAATTAGCTGTTAGCTAACTCTGGTGCAATTACTCTTAATTGTGCATTGTCCCTGTAAAAAATAAACAATAAAGTAAGCAAACTGAGAAAATGTGTAGGTGCAGGTGTATCTTCTTATGGTCAAGCTAATGGAAAAACTTGATCTAAATCATTTCACCCAATTCGAGTCGTAGCACTGGCAAACAGTCGCTAAAGTGGGCTGGGTGGCTGCTAAAATAAAGTCTGACCTTAATAAGCAGATGCAGAGTATTGCCCATGAGCATCTCCTGTAGAAACTTGCTGTCCTCTGAGGCGTTCATGTGAAACTCCAGTCCATAAAGCAAAGAGGCCAGCATACACACACCTGAAGATAAGGAGAGGAATATAAACAATTGATTAGTCTCTACTATTCTCTGAACTTTTAATCTTTATCATGATGCATTTTCTTTCCTTTAAAAGCATCGTTCACCCAAAATGAAAATGATGTCATCGTTTACTCACTCTCAAGTTGTTCAAAACTAGTATGGGTTTCTTTTTCAGTTGAACTCAAAAGAAGATATTTTGAATGACAGGTGACCGTAGCCAGTGAATGAAATGGTATTTTCTTCCCTACTTCTTTTGTTCTCAACAGAAGGAAGAAACTCACAGGATTGGAACAAACCGAGGGTGCCGGTGAGTAAATGATGACAAAAATTACTCAAAAAACAAAAACATCTAAAGGATGTTGTCTCATTCAAATGTCACCCTCTAGTGGTATAAAGTAAAAGTTTGCAACTCTCACCCTCTGTATTGAAACTAAAACATGATGGTTAAGCTCAGAAATAGTCTACGGCTTCTTTGGCATTTACATATTTTATTACTAAACTTAAATCTAGACTTTAAACAACATTTAAAACGGCTGAATTGACTAACTACTTCCACATGCAGTATCTTCTATAATGCCTCTGATATAAAGCCACATCCCACAGACTGAAATCTGAAGTATTCACAAGCACTAAACTGCATTCATCACCCTTTAACATCCTTCTCACCTCCTGATCCAGATGATGGGTTTATCATTACTCTGTGGTTCGGTGATGATATTATTAGACAGAAGATGAAGACCCTGCGTTTACAACGAGAAAAATCAAGTAAGTGACATTTAAAACAATAGATTGATATTAATGTTAATGATAATATCTCAAAATAAACCAAATCTTAAGATTATAATTGTGTAATTTCAAGTGGTTTCACATACTGTATGATAATACTTCCACCTAGTGGTAAATATTTCTCCTCTATCTTTTAAGTGGAATATGAAGATAATAAAATATATTGATTTAACTTGCATTCAGTAAGGATTAAATGCATTAAACATGGCAGTAATGACATATTTAATGTTACAAAAGATTTAAATTTCAAATAAAGTTTATTTTACAATCAAGAATCCAGAAAGAAAATGTATCACTGTTTCCAAAAACAATTTAAGTGTATTAGCGAATTTCTGATGGATCATGTGACACTGAAGACTGGAGTGATGATACTGAAAATTCAGCTTTGGATAACAGGAATAAATAATATTTTACAATATATACACAGAAAAAAAATAGTCATTTTTAAATGGTAATAATAATATGTCACAACTGTACAGTTTTTGCTGTATTATTGGTGCTTTTTTATTGGAAAAAAAAAGTTTAAAATCTTACTGACATCAAACTTTTGCATAGTTCACAATATTGCAATTGGAACAATATCGCTCCTTTGTTGATTGTAAATGTCTTTTACAAATATATTTTATCTTAAGATGCTGCTTAACCTTGTTTTTTCCCACAAATTTTTGTGCTTTCAGCTCCATTTAAATTCATTCAGTTTTTCTTAAATAACCAAATATTTTATTCCATTTCAGCCTCAAAAAGAAATCTCATTATTACAATGTCATGGTATTATATTATTTTACTTACATAAACAGCTTCTTTTGTGAAATTATTAATATTCTTTAGAGTAAAAGAGTATTGTCAGTACTGGAAAACTGCAATATTTAGCTTACCTGGCCTTCAGAATGAGGTACCAATAATAATGGTCTTGTCTGGTTAGATCACTTCTGAACTCTGCATGAAGGAAAAATGAGTGACAATGGCTCATTCACATGTCACGCAGATTGGTAATCATCAATAATGACCTGAATGGAGCAGACAAGCAGAAACACTCAATAATGCAGCGTAGCATTTGACCTATTTAGTTCCCAAACATACTGTAGCACAAGCTTCTGCAACAATCAAACATTAAAAACCAACAACATTTATTTACTGACCTATTTCAAGTTACTTGTAGCGCCTTCCAGATCAGTTTAGAGAAGTCCAAACTCCATCCCCTAATCTCTCTCTTGTGCTGGACTAGTTTACTATTTTGAAACTAAACTAATATTATATAATAATTTACATATTTACTTATGTACTCCAATGTGAGCATAGTTATTGGCTTACTAATAATTATGCCAATGACTCGTCGACTTGGAGGGGAAATATTTTCTGTTCCCTTTCGTAGTCACTTCGAGTTACGTCAGAAGTCACGGAGATTGGGGGTTTCGCATAGAAAGCCAATCCTCTTCGAGTATTTAAAAACGAGCCAATGGCGTGCAATGCCTTGGGGCTGCGGAAATTTGCATAGCGTACTCCGCCCTACTCCGTGAGTATAAAAGGAGGAAGTGAACACAACCGCAGTATGTTTTCGCTTCGGAGCCAAGAGAACCTCTTCACTCCTGAAAGCCATTCTCACTGTTCAAGACTCTTCGAGACGAGCGTCCTCTTCAGTGTTGGTGTGACGGCGGTACCCAGCGAGATTCTGCATCGCCTGCGATCTGAGCAGTGGTCTGCCAGACTTTGCACTTCTCCCTGGTCGCCTCAGCGCTGAAAGAGTAAATTTCCTCCTCTCATTGAAAGAGCTGCACGTGGCACGTCTTTTTAAAGATGGTTCACCCGTGTTCTTCTGGGTGTGGTCGATTTCTATCGTCATCTGATGGTCACGATCGCTGCTTTGTATGCCTGGGCATTCAGCATGCAGCAGCAGCGTTCGTGGATGACTCATGTTCTTTCTGTGGGAACATGACCATCTCTACACTGAGGTCGAGACTCAATGATCTGACTAAAGTGAGAGTCCCGGTCCCCCCTACTCGATCGGCTTCCTCCACGGGGGGCCCGTCGACCCGGGGACCTGGTGATCTAACGGTGACGGTGTGGAACAAAGCCCCGACGATTCCTCGGGCCTCAGTGCGAGAGCCAGCGAGCGTTAGTTCGATTCAGTCAGCTGCTTCTTCGGCGGTTCCGGCTGCTTCGGGCAGCGCTCCAGATGATGATGCGATGTCGATCACAGCATCACTAGGCGGGCTAGAGTCCTCGGGAGATGAGGATGCCGCTGCGTTGCCTCCTTCGGGAGTGCCAGCGTTGCCCGTGTCGGATCCCGAGCTGACGGCCATGCTGTCTCGAGCCGCTGGGAGTATCGGTTAGAGTGGAACCCTCCGCCCTGCCCCGATCCCTCACGGATGGATGATTGGTTTTTGGACAAAGCTGCCGCCGCAAGGCCACGGCCAACTCCTTTGCCTTTCTTCCCCGAGCTGCATGTGGAGTTATCGCGCTCTTGGGGGGCTCCCCTGTCCACTCGAGAGCGCGATCTCTCCCCCGCCTTTCCCCCCCTCGATGGTGGGGCCGCCCGTGGGTACACTGGGATGCCCCCGGTGGAGCGCTCTGTTGCGATGCAGCTGTGTCCACAGAGCGCCTCCTCCCGTGGTCCTCCTAATCACCCATCCAAAGCCTGTAGGTTCTCGTCTGCTATGGCGGCACGTTCCTATAGAGCGGCGGGACAGGCGGCCTCCGCTTTGCATGCGATGAGCACGTTGCAGGTCTTCCAAGCGAAGCTGCTCAGAGATATGCACGAGGGCGGGACTGATCCAACGGCATTCAAAGATTTGCGGTCCGCCACTGACCTTGCTCTCCGGGCGACGAAAGTGGCCGCTCGCGCCGTTGGTCAGGTGATGGCCACCAGTGTGGTCCAGGAGCGCCATCTGTGGCTCAACCTGGCAGACACTCGGAGCGCTGAGCGGACTCGTCTGCTCGACGCCCCACTCTCCCAGGTTGGCCTTTTCGGCGGTGCAGTCGAGGACTTTGCCCAGCAGTTCTCCACTGCCCAGAAGCAGACGGAGGCAATCAAACATATTCTGCCCCGACGACCAGCTGCTGCCTCCACCCAGTCGTCGGCACAGATGCCTCCCGCTGCTCGCCGCCGAGGACGCCCCCCGCGGCTCCCCTCCCTCCCGCCCGGCCCCAGCAGCAGCCTTCATCCGGGCCACGGCGTGGAGGAGGCCGCAGGCAGGCGTCACAGCCCCCTCAGGCCGCACGCCCCGCTAAACGCCAGGCTAAGCAACGTTCCTGACACGGGCTGCTCAGTGATGAAGTTGAGTTTTTCCCAGGAGGTGGTAGCAGGCCCCCTCCTTCCCCCGGTGGAGGGCCGGGGGAGAATATTTTGTTCTCAGCTCCCCGCTGCTCACCCACGGGTGGGCAGCACCCTGAGTTGGTTAAAGAAAGACTTGACATCATCACTGAGCACACAGACAGGATTGGGTGCGCTCGACGTCCCAGTGCGTCAGCCCACTCATTCCTCTCTGTCTCTGAGGGCGCGGAAGGGAGCGTGTGTCGTCCCCGGGCTACGCCACTCCCTTCCCCCTCTATCGCCAGACCCCCGGCAGAACAGACCCCCGTGGAACGCTCTGCCTTCCCTGGTCTCTTCTGTCGGGGAGCGGGCTTCGACGGTGCATCCGGGCGGGGTAACTCCTGCGCGCATGCCGGCCGACCCGCCTCGCTGCCCCTCCGGGGGGACGTCTGTGGTTCGGATGACCCCGCTGGTTCACTTCCTGGAAGCCTGGCTAGAGCTTCCCGGGCTGTCCCGCTGGGTCATCAGAACGATCAGATTCGGCTACGCGATTCAGTTCGCACGGTCTCCTCCCCGTTTCGGGGGAGTTCGCTCCACGATGGTCGGTGGCAATGCCCCGGTCATGAGAGCGGAGATTGCGACCCTGCTGGCGAAGGGTGCAATCGAGACGGTCCCTCCAGTCGAGATGAGGTCCGGGTTTTACAGCCCCTACTTAATTGTCCCCAAAAAGACCGGTGGGTTACGACCGATCCTGGACCTGCGCATTTTGAACCGTTCTCTCCATCGACTACCGTTCAAAATGCTCACAGCCAAACGCATTCTCGAATGCGTTCGGTTTCAGGATTGGTTTGCAGCGATCGACCTGAAGGACGCGTACTTTCGTGTCTCCATTTTGCCTCGACACAGACCGTTTCTTCGGTTTGCTTTCGAGGGCCAGGCATATCAGTACACGGTTCTCCCATTCGAGTTAGCTCTGTCCCCTCGCGTCTTCACGAAGATCGTCGAGGCAGCCCTTGTTCCCCTTCGCGAGCACGGGGTTCGCATCCTGAACTATCTCGACGACTGGCTGATACTGGCACACTCTCGAGCTCAGGTTTGCGAACACAGAGACCTGGTGCTTCGGCACCTAGCCCGTCTGGGCCTTCGGGTCAACCGGGAAAAGAGCAAACTTTGCCCCGTGCAGAGGATCTCTTTTCTCGGCATGGAGATAGACTCGGTCGCCATGTCCGCGCAGCTCACGAACGAGCGCGCGCACTCACTGCTGACTTGTCTTCGACAGTTCGAGGGCAAGAGTGCGGTTCCACTGAAACTATTTCAGAGGCTCCTGGGGCATATGGCATCCGCGGTACGCCGCTCGGTTTGTTCATATGAGACCGCTTCAGCTGTGGCTTCGCGATCGAGTCCCGAGGTGGGCATGGCATCGCGGTTCGCTCCGAGTTCCAGTGACTCCAGCATGCCGCCGAACCTTCTTCCCGTGGTCGAACCTCAGCTTCTTACGGACCGGCGTCCCTATTCAGCGAGTTTCCAGGCATCTCGTTGTCTCCACGGATGCGTCTACCACGGGTTGGGGTGCCATGTGCAATGGGCATGCAGCCGCGGGTGCCAGCATGTGCTTGTCCGCTCAGACAACACTACGACAGTAGCGTACATCAACCACCAGGGGGGTCTACGCTCGCGCCGGTTGTCGCAGCTCACCCGCCACCTCTTGTTATGGAGTCAGAAGCACCTGAGGTCCCTTCGTGCAGTATACATTCCTGGAGACCGGAACCTGGCAGCCGACGAACTGTCACGGGTCCGTCCTATCTCCGGCGAATGGCGACTCCATCCCTAGTCGGTCCAGCTGATTTGGGACCAGTTCGGGGAGGCACAGATAGATCTGTTCGCCTCTCGGGACTCATCCCACTGCACCCAGTTTTATTCCCTGACCGAGGGTACGCTCGGCTCAGATGCGCTGGCGCACAGCTGGCCACGGGGCCCACGCAAGTATGCGTTTCCCCCAGTGAGCCTCCTTGCACGGGTGTTGTGCAAGATCAAGGAGGACGAGGAGCAGGTCTTGCTGGTAGCCCCCTATTGGCCCACCAGGACGTGGTTCTCCGAACTCATGCTCCTCGCGACAGCTTCTCCTTGGCCTATTCCTCTGAGACAGGACCTACTCTCTCAGAGACGGGGCACTCTGTGGCACCCTCGTCCCGATCTTTGGAGGCTGCACGTGTGGCTCCTGGACGGGACGAGGCAGGTTTGAGTTCGCTGCCACCTGCGGTGGTGGCAACCATCACTTCCGCAAGAGCGTCGTCCACGAGACACCTTTATGTGTTGAAGTGGAACCTCTTCGTCAATTGGTGTTCTTCTCGCGGAGAAGACCCCCGGAGATGTTCGATCGCGGTCGTGCTTTCCTTCCTGCAAGAAGGGTTGGAGCGCAGGCTGTCGCCCTCCACCCTTAAGGTTTACGTCGCGGCCATTGCCGCTTCTCATGAAGCAGTGGAAGGTAAGTCCTTAGGGAAGCACGACCTGGTCATCAGGTTCCTGAGGGGAGCGAGGAGGCTACATCCGCCTCGTCCTCCCCTCGTACCCTCTTGGGACCTCTCGGTAGTTTTAAGTGCTCTGCAGAGGCATCCCTTTGAGCCTTTGCAATCGGTAGAGTTAAAGTTTCTGTCCATGAAGACAGCACTCCTGGTTGCATTGGCCTCCATCAAGAGGGTGGGGGACCTGCACGCATTCTCCGTTGACGAAGCGTGCCTGGAGTTCGGGCCGGCTTACTCTCACGTGATCCTGAGACCCCGGCCTGGATATGTGCCCAAGGTTCCCACCACTCCCTTCCGGGACCAGGTGGTGAACCTGCAAGCGCTGCCCCTGGAGGAGGCAGACCCAGCCTTGGCACTGCTCTGTCCGGTACGTGCTCTCCGCACCTATGTCGACAGAACGTGGTGTTTCAGGACCTCAGACCAGCTCTTTGTCTGTCATGGAGGGAGCCAGAAGGGAAGGGCTCTCTCAAAGCAACGGCTGTCCCACTGGATAGTGGACGCCATTGCTTTGTCTTACCAGCAGCAAGGCCGTCCGTGCCCCCTTGGTGTGACGGCCCATTCCACTCGGAGTGTGGCCTCCTCTTGGGCTCTAGCGCACGGCGCCTCGCTAACAGACATCTGCAGAGCTGCAGGCTGGGCGACACCCAACACCTTCGCCAGATTCTATAATCTGCGAATTGAGCCGGTGTCCTCTCACGTACTCGTTTCCGCCAGTACTGGACCCGCTTAGGTGTCTTCGCTTGCTCGCCATTCCACTCCCCGGACTGGATAAGTGCGATATCTCCTCAGTTCTTCCATTGAAGTCTTGAGTCCTCCAGCACCGACGATGCGGGCACCACTGCTGTTGCTCTGGATGCTGGCTAGGTGCCTCCATGTGCACGGTTCCCCATGGTAACCGTCTCATGTGTATTTTCCACTGTAAGCCTCTCTGAGCATGTGTCTTCCCTTGGCAAGCCATCTGCCACCCCTGGAGTTAAATTTTAGTAGCCACCTGCGGTTGGTGCTCCAGTGTTTCCATATGCGTTCCTATGTGGCCATATGCAAAAAAATCACTTCAACCACTAGATGGCCATAGACCTCCACCATAAGCTGATTAACCATACTACATATCTTTTCACAAGTTTTTCCCAGTTGGATTCATATCCCTACTCAGGGAACGAGGGTTACATCCGTAACCGAGACGTTTCCGGTACAGGCTGCATACTACCCTATGGGAATCACGTCACAACAAATGAAAGTACGACTCGGTTCGGGATGTGTGAGGCAAACTAACAGACTGAAGACCTAATAATTTCTGTTTCTCATAATTTGTCAGTGGCTGCCTTATTTTTTTTCTCTCTCTTATTTTAAATTGAGAATTTGGCTAGTAACATAACTGAAACATAATTTCAATTAAATTCTGTTTCCTGAAGAAATTGATTGAAAAAAAATTTGTTCATTTTGCTGAAACAGACTAAGATCCGAGTCAGTAAAATTATCCGAACTGCCCATCACTAGTATTATGCACATAGGCTATACGTTTTACAGATTGTGAACAGTTTCAACCTGTAACTGTTAACAAAAAAGTTATGAAAAATGTTATGTTAAGTTACCTTAAAATGACATTTATACTTAATCTAACCTCCATTTAATTTAGTTGGTTTAACCTAATGTAGGCTATTTGAAAAAGAAGCATTTGAATAATCTTTGCTTTTCATAATTATTCTTAAAACATAATCAATCTTGGTAAAAGTTAGCTTAACACAGTATAAAAAAAACTTTTATTGAAACCATTTGCTCCAAGATGTTGAAGTTTAATACATGGAATCACATCCTCATGTCATGTTCTGATATCCTAGATACACAAAGTGCAACTTGTTTGGAGGTCAATTTCCTTTGCAATATTTCGTATATATATATATATATATATATATATATGATTTGATGTAATTGTATTGATTAGTTTGTTAAATACACATACTTTATCTGTTTATTGCTATTGTATTATGGTTAATACAGTTTATTGTATTGTGTATTGTTGCATTATGATTAATACAGTTAATTCTATTTATTGTAATACTGATTATTGTATTATGATTAATACAGTATCTCTTCAGTTTAAACTATAAATGCATGCTGTCCACTCAAGTGGACATCTGGAAATCTCTTTGAAAAATTTGGGGAAAAAAAATCAAATCAAATTTTGTTTTCCTACCCTAAGAGCAATAAAAACACAAAGGGAAAAATCCTGACTGATGATATCATAATTCATTCATGAAAGGGTTAAAAAAAAATCACTTCAACCACTAGATGGCCATAGACCTCAACCATAAGCTGATTAACCATACTACATATCTTTTCACAAGTTTTCCCAGTTGGATTCATATCTAAATATAAAATCACAATTATAATACATACAAAAAAATTTTTGTCAAAGTTTAGCATTTTTTTTTTTTTTGCACTGACAAAAGTTTTTTTCAATTATGTTACATTATGCTTAGAATCAAAACAAACAAATGTTGGAGTCTTTAGATTTTATCATTTATTTCAATCATCTGTTTTTAATATAATTCTACATTTTTAATTCTACAATTTACTACAAGAAAAAAACATTACAGAAATGAACAGTTATATTACATATTGAGTAAAAATACATGACATGAACATGAAAATGCAATGAACTGAACAGCAATAACAAATGAGCAAATAAAGCAGTAAAAAAAAAATAGTAAAAAAAACAAACAGTGAATGGAAAAAAAATCAAACAACAATAATTGGTGGTTATCACATCACATTGTTTACAGTGCACTGCAGGCAGTATACATAGTATAGCCTTACAAATGTATTACTGTGTGTGTGTGTGTGTGTGTGTGTGTGTGTGTGTGTGTGTGTGTGTGTGTGTGTGTGTGTGTGTGTGTGTGTGTGTGTGTGTGTGTGTGTGTGTGTGTGTTTTAACCCAGTTCTATGTTTTCTGTTTTATTTTTCCTATAAGGTTTAATCAAAAACATGTCTAAATAATTGAATTCATAAAATAATAATTTTATATAGTGCATTTAAAAGTAGTGTGTCAAAGCACTTTACATAAAAAAACAAAAAAAAAACAAAACAAAAAAAAAACAATTGATTGGCTCTGATCCCTCTGCTGTGGCGGCTTGAGTTCCTGTCAGGTTGGGGTTGGACTTCAGGATTCGGGTCGAGTCTCCAGCTCAAGCACTCCACCAAGGACAGCAAGTGTGTTCTTTCCTATCCAATACACAGATTATATGAACAAGTCAACTCATGACTGATATTTTAAGAGCTGTTATAGCTACAACAGAATTGAATTCTATTTGCACTGATTCTCTTATTTTCCCGTCTACCGTAAAACCGCATTGAAAAAATCTGCATTGTACAAAGCGCTATATAAATGAAGGTGACTTGACTATAACAAGAACACAAACGTGAAAATCTTACAACAAACGATCCAGAGTTGAAGACAAGTGATAATAATCCTACTCTGTCTGTTACACTTCCTCACACCTGAAATCATCAATCATGATCGAGTGAATCTCCTGAACTCCTACAGTAGATCGTTTCTAATCCATGTATGTTGGGACATCTGCTCTAACGTGGGCCGTTTCGCTGGATCCCGGGCTAGACACTGCCTAATCAGATCACTGCATTCTGTACAAATGTTAACAAGGAGAGAGCTGGTTAGTCATGTGACTTGGAATCTATGAAAACAGCATCTAAACCTGACTAATATAATGTAAAATGTTCCTTAATCTTTACTTTAAAAGTAAAGTATGTTGTTTCTGCGACACTAGTGGCATTGAGCGGAAATAATGACAAAATAAAGCATCATTTCAAAAAAAAAACCTTGCAGAGACCTCTTTCGTGCCTCACGTCTTCCCCAACTTAGACATCGCTCATATTCAACATGTACATACTGTATTATTCACTCACCCCTGGATAAGTTGGAATTGGGAAATGTAACTTTGGCTTCGATGACTTCCGTTCTACTCTGAAAAGGACAAGATCCGTTGAGCATCTCGTACAGCATCACTCCCAGAGCCCAGACATTTGCTGGGACGGCGTGGAATCTGGGCTCTGTGAAGACTTCAGGTGGGCAGTGATCATTTCTTCCTGTAAACGAGACATTTGCACATTGTTGAGCTTTTTTTCTTAAAGCGACACTACATTCAGGTTTCCACACTCCCAAAATGCTCACCAAGGTATATGTCGCTCTCGTAGCCCTCGCTGCTGAATAGCTGACCGCAGCCAAAGTCTATCAGCTTGAGGTCTAACGAGTTTCTCTTCAGCAGGAAATTCTGCGCATGAACGTCGTTGTGAAAAACGCCATGCTCGATGCAGTGTTGAACTGCCAGAACAGCCTGTTGCGTGAAGACCCGTGCTATTGTTTCACACACATCAGGATCACGGCGAGTGATGAAGTCCTTCAAGCTCTCGCAGGGTTCGGGGAACTCCATGATGAGAGAGAATTTGCGAGGGTGTTCAAACCACTCGTACAGCTGTATGACGTAGGGGCTTATGGGTTCTCGCCTCATCATTAACAGCAGCGCCACTTCTGTAATGAGAGGTTCGGGATGCCCAGGCTAGAGAAAAGCAGTAGACAGAAGGTTAGCTGGGTGAAACATCTCACTTTTCTTTTTAGATACGTTCAAAAGAGCCTCAAAAGAGCTCAACGTTTTTTCTGTTGTGGCTCTAGGCTTATTTGTCAATCACATTTACACATAATGCTTCCTATGTGTGTATTAACTACACAGCAATCTGCACTTAAACAACTAAATACATATTCAGGTTTTGCCCGACTTACAATGTCAAGATAATGAAAGTTGTCACACTTGCGCATCCGCTTGATGGCAACCTGCAAAATAAAAAACAGTTTCAGTAACAGTTTTCAAGCACCTGACCTTGCACTAAGTACCATCTGCACATTGTTCTGAATGTGTTTTGATGCGCACAAAAGCAAAATGTTTGTACAATTCGGGAAGACTTACCCTTTTGCCATCAAGTTTGCGTGTTCCCCTGTACACACTGCCAAACGTTCCGCATCCAATCATCGCTCCCGCTTCATAAAGAGACTCAAAGGACTCTGAAAAACAAACAGAAATATACAGTATGAGAGATTGTTTTATTTGAAAAAAATATCAGTCCCGGTTGTGTCGAGAAAACAATAATAATATGGTGAAAATAATATGAATATTCTCTTAACACAAGAAGGCAATACCGTTTAAAATAATTTAGAGAAATAAGGACTGGCCATTTACCATTATTTGGCTCGACACCGGAGAGATCAGTATCAGGTGGTGACGTTGGATCAGGATCAGGTGGTGATGTTGGATCAGGATCACGTGGTGATGTTGGATCAGGCTCTGGCTCCGGCTCCAGATCTGCTGGAGGGACAAAAGGCTCGACAACATCCACAGCACAACTGTGGCAACGGCAGCAGAAAGAACCCTTCATAGCCTTCCATAGCCAGTGGAGGAAACGACCAAATCTTTTCCTCTTCCTTGTAGGCTTTCCTGAAATGAAGAGAAACATCTCTGATGTCATGACATAACTTACATTTTACTGTTAAATTCTTATCTGTAATGTTACAAATCCCAAGTAATGGAAATATTTCCAAGCTACCCTTCTGCTAAAAGCCTGCATAAATGTCCCAAGATAGCATTTCACAACTTTCATGACTCAGTCGGCACGACGGCCATTTTATTCAACTGCAATGGTTTTTGTTGGTTAAAGGAAGATTATATTTGATAATTTTGCAGTTTGAGAACATGTTTTCTTAATGCTCTGAAATATTTCTAAGCAAAAATGTAAAAATCACCAGACATTAAAATGCTAAAAACTTGAAATTGCAAAATCTCTTTCTATACACTTCACACTGGCCAGCCTTATTTCAGTCTCACCTGTTGAGCTCTTGTTCACAGGAGAAGACTCCATGGCACTCCGAGCAGTTCGGCCTCTTGAAGTCTCTGATGGCTCTTCAGCAACTTGACCCGGCAGCGGAGGGCACAGCCACCCTTCCCAGCTGTCGGACCTGGACAAACCGCAGCTGCTGCCACTGTCCTGTTCGCTTTGGCTCTCCGAAACATCACCACTCCACCTCCACACCACACTGTACGAGCCTCTGCTGCTCAGCCTCAACGACTCTCTGCAGAACCTCCTCTCCACATTGTCCTCAGAGAGGGACAAAGATGAAGATGAGTCTGTGGAAAATATCAGAAATCAAAAACTTTATTTTTTTGTTATGATTTTTTAAATAATATTTATATGTAAGAATTGGTCAAAGCCTATTCTGACCTCTGCGAGAGTGTTTCGACGAAGTGGACGGACGTCCATCATCTGGGCTCCTCTGGGTGCCGCTCTGCCCCTCCTTCCTCCAGTGAGCCGGACCTGTGGACACAGAAACGGACAAGTCAGAAGACGAAGACTGTGTTAAATGTCCATGAAGCTCCTGGATCTGTGTCTGGGTCGGGTCTGGCTGCGTATCCTCACCGCGGTCATCGGAAACGGGTCTCCAAACCTCCTGACCAGCCGTCTGTGTGAAATCAGCTCTCCTGGATCTGGAGCGGCCTTAAGGGTGGGATATTTCACATAGTTAGCCAATACTCAATGTCAGTGGTCAATTTCAAATGGTTACTATACATAACACGATTTCATATGCAAGGAATCAAATACATGTGATCACTTACTGTAGCAAGAAACATTGAGGGATCAAATTTACCTTGCACAAGTTCCTTCACATTAATTTCCTCAATCATTGTATGCTACAACAACAATATCATACCATTTACAAATAAAAAACTAAAGCCCTCACCTCCTCTCCCCCAGATGTGAGCCATTGACGTCCTCCAATCTGCAATAAAAACAATATTAAAAAAAGAACAAAACACAACTCTACTAACTTAAAGGTTAACACTAAGAATTAAATAAAACAATAAACAAAAAACGACAAAAAAAAAATATACTCCCCACTCCTTCTAACGTAAGGAAATAACAATTAAATATTAGTCTCCACAAAAACAATATGAACTCTTTAAAATGTAAAATATGTAAAGGATATATGCTTGACGTCCTCCAATCTGCAATAAAAACAATATTTAAAAAAGAACAATACCCAACTCTACTCAAAGTTAACACTAAGAATTAAATAAACAACAAACAAAAAAATCAAATAAAACAATAAATTAAAAAAATTAAATAAAACAATAAAAAAAACTCCCCACTCCTTCTAAAGTAAGAAAAGAACAATTAAAATATTAGTCTCCACAAAAACAATATGAACTATTTAAAACGTAAAATATGTAAAGGATATATGCTCCGATCTTCTTATAGAATAAAGGTCTCTTCTCAGCTCAGCTTCACAAGTTTTGTGTAGAATTGCGCAAAAGTCTCTGAATTGTTCGCCTCGTCTCTCAACCAAGTCAGAAAACGATCACTTCAAATGTACACATAATGCATAACACGTGTCGTTATGGCAACTAAAATTCAAATCGTTCGTAACCACGCACGTGCGCCTGAAGCGCCTGAAGCGCTCAATATAATCGAAACTTAATTTTAAACAGTTATTATTATAATAATAATTATTACTATTATTATATTGATAATCCGTTTATCAATATAATAATAGTAATAATTATTACTAATTCTTGCCCAAAACGTAGGACGTGAAGGAAGCCAATCAGCTTGCAGGATCACTTATGCGTCATCACGCCGGTTGTTGAGATTTTTTTTTATTTTTTTTTATTTTTTTATGATTTTACTAATTATGGAGTGGAGGATGACGTTCTTTATTTATTTTACAATGATCATTAGCACTATCTTTCTCAAACAATGTTTAAATTGTTAACAGTTTATCTGCGCTGCTCATTCGGACTGAAATTTGTAGGCTATTATTAGACATAGTATCATGGACATTATAAATACATAGATGCCTGTGCTTCTTGGGGCTCTACAAATCGCCACACAACTGAAAACTGGTCTCGAGGAATTATCTTTCACACGCAAGACTGAACATTTGTTTCTGGCTGTATTTGGTCATGATATAGTGTAGTTCAAAGGAGAAAGGCCGTGAAATTTCAAAATACTACTGTTATTGTGTCACGAAACGTTGTTTGAAAAGTTTTTCAGTCGACAATGTAGTTGTTTACCCCTCTGGTTATCTTCATTTGTGTCTATACTCATTATCTTTGGGGTCTCCAGGGACCCCAGACAATAACATTTAATTTTGTAACAGAATTATTTATATATTTTTCACAAATGTAATTATAGTCTGTTTATTAATGTTTTTACTCAACATTTGTGCAGTTTTTAGAGGATTATTGATATCTTTTAAATTTCAATAAATAAATAAATATCTAAATAGGCTTTTTTACAAAAAAAAAAAAAAAAAATTAACAATAGCAATAGGGTTTCAGCACTTTGTGCTTGAACCCATAAAAAACAGCATTTTATGTCAAATTTACTTTAGAGAAAAGACCCAGATTTTTAACTTTCATTTATGGGGATAACATGGATCATTTGAAATGATTTAATGTCATGATCATTTGAAAGTTGCACATCAATCTCTTCAGTGGACCCTGGTGCATCATTCTATGCATTGCAACAAAGTTGTTAGCCATTGAGTTTTGATTTTTTCCCCCCCTCCAAACCAAGATGGCCAATGGCCAGTCAGACATGCCAAGTTCCAGAATATTCACCCATCCACATATATATATATATATATATACAGTATATGTGTGTAAAATATATATTGCCGCACCAAGCAGTATCTAATGAGTCATATATCACAGTAAAATTGTCCAAGTTTTGATTTTAGATTGGGAGAAAAATCTGATTAATCACCTGTCCGCTATAGTGGACCTCATGCATCAATGGCTATATTTTAGCTACAATTCATACTTATACTGTGAATATTGTTTTTAAAAATACTTAATCTGCAGTAATTTGTTTTGACTGTAAATAAATGTATGTGTATTATTAGAATATACTTTTCATTGACGTCTAAAAAAGTTATGTAATTACATAATTTGTGACTTGTAATGCATTACTTTACTCATTTCATGAAAAAGTAATCTAATTACGTAATGCATTACTTCTTAGATCAAAAAAAATCTGTTTACGTAATGAATGTTGCTTGTACTGCATTTATTTACTCGTAACATCAAAAAGTAATCTGATTACACAATTCATGTTACTTGTAATGCATTGTTAGATCACAAAGTAATCTGATTATGTAATGCACACTACTTGTAATTAATTGTTAGATCAAAAAGTAATCTGATTATGTAATGCATGTTACTTCTAACACATTACTTTACTCGTAGCATCAAACAAGTAATCTGAATGCGTTATACCTGCCCCAACACTGCTCATTTCAGATGAGACTGAAAAAAAAAAAAAAAGTATAGCTAGGTTTTCTCAAAAGAGTGCTATGCTAGAAATGTGTCCATCTCTAACATAATCAGAATTATCAGCTAATAAGGGTAAATTGACATAGTCTGGCACACTGGAGCGAGCATCTGAGTGTTTCCACAGTTGTTCATTGACAGGCTGTAGACATTTCTGATGGAATCACATCCTCATGTTCTGATATGAAGGTCAATTGCCTTTGCAATATTTCAGATTTATATATATATATTAATATATTTTAAAGTTTTCACATGATTTGATGTAACTGTACTGATAGTTTGTTAAATACACATACTTTATCTGTTTGATTATTGCATTATGTTTAATACAGTATCTCTTACTTCAGTTTAAACTATAAATTCATGCTGTCCGCTCAAGTGGACATCTGGAAATCTCTTTGAAAAAAAAAAAAATTCAAATGAAATTTTGTTTTCCATGCCCTAAGAGCAATAAAAACACAAAGGAAAAAAATCCTGACTGATGATATCATAATTCATGCATGAAAGGGTTAAAAAAAACTCACTACAACAGCTAGATGGCCATAGACCTCCACCATAAGATGATTAACCATACTACATATCTTTTCACACGTTTTTCCAGTTGGATTCATATCTAAATATTATAAAATCACAATTATAATACATACAAAAAACTTTTTGTCAAAGTTTAGCATTTTTTTGCACTGACTAAAGTTTTTTTCAATTATGTCACATTATGCTTAGAATCAAACCAAACAAATGTTGGAGTCTTTAGATTTTATCATTTATTTCAATCATCTGTTTTTAATATAATTCTACATTTTTAATTCTACAATTTACTAAAAGAACAAAACATTACAGAAATGAACAGTTATATTACATATTGAGTAAAAATACATGACATGAACATGAAAATGCAATGAACTGAACAGCAATAACAAATGAGCAAATAAAGCAGTAAAAAAAAATAGTAAAAAAAAAAAACAAACAGTGAATGGGAAAAAAATCAAACAACAATAATTGGTGGTTATCACATCACATTGTTTACAGTGCACTGCAGGCAGTATACATAGTATAGCCTTACAAATGTATTACTGTGTGTGTGTGTGTGTGTGTGTGTGTGTGTGTGTGTGTGTGTGTGTTTAACCCAGTTCTATGTTTTCTGTTTTATTTTTCCCATAAGGTTTAATCAAAAACATGTCTAAATAATTGAATTCATGAAATAATAATTTTATATAGTGCATTTAAAAGTAGTGTGTCAAAGCACTTTACATAAAAAAAAAAAAAAACAAAACAAAACAAAACAAAAAAACAATTGATTGGCTCTGATCCCTCTGCTGTGGCGGCTTGAGTTCCTGTCAGGTTGGGGTTGGACTTCAGGATTCGGGTCGAGTCTCCAGCTCAAGCACTCCACCAAGGACAGCAAGTGTGTTCTTTCCTATCCAATACACAGATTATATGAACAAGTCAACTCATGACTGATATTTTAAGAGCTGTTATAGCTACAACAGAATTGAATTCTATTTGCACTGATTCTCTTATTTTCCCGTCTACCGTAAAACCGCATTGAAAAAATCTGCATTGTACAAAGCGCTATATAAATGAAGGTGACTTGACTATAACAAGAACACAAACGTGAAAATCTTACAACAAACGATCCAGAGTTGAAGACAAGTGATAATAATCCTACTCTGTCTGTTACACTTCCTCACACCTGAAATCATCAATCATGATCGAGTGAATCTCCTGAACTCCTACAGTAGATCGTTTCTAATCCATGTATGTTGGGACATCTGCTCTAACGTGGGCCGTTTCGCTGGATCCCGGGCTAGACACTGCCTAATCAGATCACTGCATTCTGTACAAATGTTAACAAGGAGAGAGCTGGTTAGTCATGTGACTTGGAATCTATGAAAACAGCATCTAAACCTGACTAATATAATGTAAAATGTTCCTTAATCTTTACTTTAAAAGTAAAGTATGTTGTTTCTGCGACACTAGTGGCATTGAGCGGAAATAATGACAAAATAAAGCATCATTTAAAAAAAAACCTTGCAGAGACCTCTTTCGTGCCTCACGTCTTCCCCAACTTAGACATCGCTCATATTCAACATGTACATACTGTATTATTCACTCACCCCTGGATAAGTTGGAATTGGGAAATGTAACTTTGGCTTCGATGACTTCCGTTCTACTCTGAAAAGGACAAGATCCGTTGAGCATCTCGTACAGCATCACTCCCAGAGCCCAGACATTTGCTGGGACGGCGTGGAATCTGGGCTCTGTGAAGACTTCAGGTGGGCAGTGATCATTTCTTCCTGTAAACGAGACATTTGCACATTGTTGAGCTTTTTTTCTTAAAGCGACACTACATTCAGGTTTCCACACTCCCAAAATGCTCACCAAGGTATATGTCGCTCTCGTAGCCCTCGCTGCTGAATAGCTGACCGCAGCCAAAGTCTATCAGCTTGAGGTCTAACGAGTTTCTCTTCAGCAGGAAATTCTGCGCATGAACGTCGTTGTGAAAAACGCCATGCTCGATGCAGTGTTGAACTGCCAGAACAGCCTGTTGCGTGAAGACCCGTGCTATTGTTTCACACACATCAGGATCACGGCGAGTGATGAAGTCCTTCAAGCTCTCGCAGGGTTCGGGGAACTCCATGATGAGAGAGAATTTGCGAGGGTGTTCAAACCACTCGTACAGCTGTATGACGTAGGGGCTTATGGGTTCTCGCCTCATCATTAACAGCAGCGCCACTTCTGTAATGAGAGGTTCGGGATGCCCAGGCTAGAGAAAAGCAGTAGACAGAAGGTTAGCTGGGTGAAACATCTCACTTTTCTTTTTAGATACGTTCAAAAGAGCCTCAAAAGAGCTCAACGTTTTTTCTGTTGTGGCTCTAGGCTTATTTGTCAATCACATTTACACATAATGCTTCCTATGTGTGTATTAACTACACAGCAATCTGCACTTAAACAACTAAATACATATTCAGGTTTTGCCCGACTTACAATGTCAAGATAATGAAAGTTGTCACACTTGCGCATCCGCTTGATGGCAACCTGCAAAATAAAAAACAGTTTCAGTAACAGTTTTCAAGCACCTGACCTTGCACTAAGTACCATCTGCACATTGTTCTGAATGTGTTTTGATGCGCACAAAAGCAAAATGTTTGTACAATTCGGGAAGACTTACCCTTTTGCCATCAAGTTTGCGTGTTCCCCTGTACACACTGCCAAACGTTCCGCATCCAATCATCGCTCCCGCTTCATAAAGAGACTCAAAGGACTCTGAAAAACAAACAGAAATATACAGTATGAGAGATTGTTTTATTTGAAAAAAATATCAGTCCCGGTTGTGTCGAGAAAACAATAATAATATGGTGAAAATAATATGAATATTCTCTTAACACAAGAAGGCAATACCGTTTAAAATAATTTAGAGAAATAAGGACTGGCCATTTACCATTATTTGGCTCGACACCGGAGAGATCAGTATCAGGTGGTGACGTTGGATCAGGATCAGGTGGTGATGTTGGATCAGGATCACGTGGTGATGTTGGATCAGGCTCTGGCTCCGGCTCCAGATCTGCTGGAGGGACAAAAGGCTCGACAACATCCACAGCACAACTGTGGCAACGGCAGCAGAAAGAACCCTTCATAGCCTTCCATAGCCAGTGGAGGAAACGACCAAATCTTTTCCTCTTCCTTGTAGGCTTTCCTGAAATGAAGAGAAACATCTCTGATGTCATGACATAACTTACATTTTACTGTTAAATTCTTATCTGTAATGTTACAAATCCCAAGTAATGGAAATATTTCCAAGCTACCCTTCTGCTAAAAGCCTGCATAAATGTCCCAAGATAGCATTTCACAACTTTCATGACTCAGTCGGCACGACGGCCATTTTATTCAACTGCAATGGTTTTTGTTGGTTAAAGGAAGATTATATTTGATAATTTTGCAGTTTGAGAACATGTTTTCTTAATGCTCTGAAATATTTCTAAGCAAAAATGTAAAAATCACCAGACATTAAAATGCTAAAACTTGAAATTGCAAAATCTCTTTCTATACACTTCACACTGGCCAGCCTTATTTCAGTCTCACCTGTTGAGCTCTTGTTCACAGGAGAAGACTCCATGGCACTCCGAGCAGTTCGGCCTCTTGAAGTCTCTGATGGCTCTTCAGCAACTTGACCCGGCAGCGGAGGGCACAGCCACCCTTCCCAGCTGTCGGACCTGGACAAACCGCAGCTGCTGCCACTGTCCTGTTCGCTTTGGCTCTCCGAAACATCACCACTCCACCTCCACACCACACTGTACGAGCCTCTGCTGCTCAGCCTCAACGACTCTCTGCAGAACCTCCTCTCCACATTGTCCTCAGAGAGGGACAAAGATGAAGATGAGTCTGTGGAAAATATCAGAAATCAAAAACTTTATTTTTTTGTTATGATTTTTTAAATAATATTTATATGTAAGAATTGGTCAAAGCCTATTCTGACCTCTGCGAGAGTGTTTCGACGAAGTGGACGGACGTCCATCATCTGGGCTCCTCTGGGTGCCGCTCTGCCCCTCCTTCCTCCAGTGAGCCGGACCTGTGGACACAGAAACGGACAAGTCAGAAGACGAAGACTGTGTTAAATGTCCATGAAGCTCCTGGATCTGTGTCTGGGTCGGGTCTGGCTGCGTATCCTCACCGCGGTCATCGGAAACGGGTCTCCAAACCTCCTGACCAGCCGTCTGTGTGAAATCAGCTCTCCTGGATCTGGAGCGGCCTTAAGGGTGGGATATTTCACATAGTTAGCCAATACTCAATGTCAGTGGTCAATTTCAAATGGTTACTATACATAACACGATTTCATATG